CTTTCCAACAGCCATCAGGAGGAATTGCCTTGGTTTGTTCTCTCCTTGGGTCTGGAGGGAAGCAAGCTCTCCCCAGGAGATAGTGTGTCTGGCTCTGGTGCTCAACCCTGAGCTCCTGATCTCTGCTTCCCTCAGGAGCCCTGTCTTTCTGTTTTTTATTGCTACAATGGAAGACCACAGACTGGGTAATTTATAAAGAAGAGAGGTGTTCTTTTAAGTTTATTTTTAAATAGTTCTAATCAGTTATACAAGACAGCAGAAAGCTTTTCAATTCATTGTACACAAATGGAGCACAACTCTTTGTTTCTCTGGTTGTACACGATGTAGAGTCACAGCACATGTGCAGCCATACTTGTACCTAGGGTAATGATGTCCATCTCATTCCACCATCTTTCCTAGCCCCATTTCCTCTCCCTTCTCTCCTTCCCAATTTACCAATGAAAGTTCCTTCATTTTCACCCTCTCCCCCATTATTTATCAGCATTCACTTATTAGAGGGAACATTTGGCCTTTGGTTTTTCAAGATTGGCTTAGTTTTCTGAGCATGATATTCTCCAACTCCATCCATTTAGTGCAACTGCCATAATTTTATTCTTTGTTAATGCTGAGCGATATTCCATTTTGTACATTTACCACATTTTCTTTATCCATTTTTCTAGTGAAAGGCATCTATGTTGGTTCCACAGTTTAATTATTGTGAATTTAGCTGCTGTAAACCTTGATGTGGCTGCGTTACTACATTATGCTGATTTTAAGTCCTTTGGGTATAGACTGAGGAGATGGTTAGCTGGGGTAAATGGTGGTTCCGTTCCAAGTTTTTCAGGAAATCTTTATACTGCTTTCGATATTGGCTCTACCAATTTGCAGTCCCACCAGCAGTGTGTGAGTGTACCTTTTCTCCCACATCCTCAGCAATACTTAATTTTGTTTCTATTCCTAACAGCTGCCATTCTGACTGCTTTCTCTCATTGCTTTAGATGTTGCACATTTTTTTTATATATTTGTTGATTTATTGTATATCTTCTTCTGAGAAGTGTCTCTTCAGGTCCTTGGCCCATTTATTGATTGGGTTATTTGTGGTTTTGGTGTTAAGATTTTTGAGTGATCTATATATCCTACAGATTAGTGCTCTGGCATGTGTGTGGCAAGAATTTATTCCCAATTAGTAGGTTCTATATTCACCTCATTGTTTCTTTTGCTAAGATAAATTTTTTTAGTTTGAATCCACCCTATTTATCAATTTTAATATTAAGTCTTGTGCTACGTATGCCTTATTAAGATATTGAGGCCTAATCTGACATCATAGAGATTTTGGCCTACTTTTTCTTCTAATAGTTACAGTGTCTCTGGTTTAACTCCTAGGTCCTTGATCAACTTTGAGTTGAGTTTTGTTCATGATGAGAGATATATGTTTAATTTCATTTTATTGCATATGGATTTCCCAGTTTTCCCAGCATCATTTCCTAAACATGCTATCTTTTATTCAATGTATGTTTTTGGTTCTTTTGTCAAATATAAAATAACTTTAATTATGTGGGTTATGCTGTACCATTGGTCTACAGGTCTATTTTGATGCCAATACTATGCTGTTTTTTAAAAAATATTGCTTTGTAGTAAAGTTTAAAGTTTGGTATAGTGATACCACCTGCTTCACTCTTCTTGCTAAGAATTGCTTTAGCTATTCTGGATCTCTTCTTTTCTCAGATAAATTTCATGATCTCTTCTTCTTTTTCTATGAGGAATGTCATTGGGATCATGATTGGAATTGTGTTAAATCTGTATAGTGCTTTTGGTAGTATGGTCATTTTGACAATATTAATTCTTCCTATTCGGGAACAAGGGAGTTCTTTCCATCTTCTAAGGCCTTTTTAAATTTCTTTCTTTGGTGTTCTGTAGATTTCCTTGTAGAAGTCTTTCACTTCTTTCATTAGGTTGATTCCCAAGTATTTTAGAGTTTTTGATGCTATTGTGAGTGGGGTGGTTTTCCTTTCAGAGGATTTGTCACTGATATACAGAAATCTCTTTGACTTGTGGATGTTGATTTTGTACCCTGTTACTTTGCTGAATTCATTTACTAGTTCTAGAAGTTTTCTGGTGGAATTTTCTGTATGTTGTAGATATAGAATCGTGTCTGCAATTACTGCTAATTTGAGTTCTTCTTTACCTGTATGTATAACTTTATCTATGTTTGTCTATTTCCTCTTGCCAGTGTTTTCAGAACTATGTGTTGAAAGAGAGCATCCCAGTCTTGTCCCAGTTTTTATAGGGAAAGCTTTCAATTTTTCTCCATTTAAAATGATGTTGGCTTGGGGCTTAGCATAGATAGGTTTCATGATGTTGAGATATGTTCCTTTTATCCTTAGTGGTTTTTTTTTTTTTTAATATGAAGGGGTGCTGCATTTTGTTGAATGCTTCTTCTGAATCTATTGAGATGATCATATGGTTCTTATCTCTAAGTCTATTGATATGATGAATTACGTTTATTGATTTCCATAGTTGAACCAACCTTGCATCCCTGGAATGAAACGTGCTTGATCATGGTGATCAAGAGCATATCTTTTTGATATGCTCTTGTATTTGATTTGCCAGAATTTTACTGAGAATGTTTGCATCTATATTCATTAGAGATATTGGTCTGAAGTTTTCTTTTTTGGGTGTGTCTTTGCCTGGTTTTGGAATCAGGGTGATATTGGCCTCATAGAATGAGTTTGGAAGTGCTCCCCCTTTTTCTACTTCCTAAAATAAATTGAAGAGTATTGGTATGAGTTCTTCTTTAAAGGTTATGTAGAACACAGCTGTGTATTCATCTTTTCTAGATTTGTAGGCTTCTGATGGCATCTTCTATTTCATTGCTTGAAATTGATCTGTTTAAATTGTGCAGATCTTGATTTAAATTGCGCAAAGAATGTGACTCTAGAAATTTGTCGATGTCTTTGATTTTTTTAGTGTCAGCATAACGCATGGCAGGCATCTTTCTTTTTCCTTTTTTAAAAATATTTTTAGTCGATGGACACAATACCTTTATTTTGTTTATTGTTTTTTATGAGGTGCTGGGGAATAAACCCAGTGCCTCGCGCATGCTAGGCAAGCGCTCTCCCACTGAGCCACAGCCCCAGCCTTGGCAGGCATCTTTCTGAGAGCATTTTGTGTTCAGTTCCCCCACCTTGTGAGAGGTGTCTCAACCCTCACTTACCAAGTCAGACGTGGCGGGGGAGCGATGCTAAATCACTCTAGGCGGGGATTTAAGCCTGGCTGATTGGCTGCAGAATCCATGCTTTCAGCCATGTTCCTTCCTCCATTTCATATATTTATCTCTTTTTCTTTTTTTTTTTTTTAATACAAAAAGCCTGCTGGAAATGGTTTAAATTTTTTTTTTTTTTTAACTCGACAGCATGCCTTGGGAAGTTTCCTCTGATGGGTTGAACTCTGAGGACACGTATGACATGCTTGACTCCTCATTCCTGGGCTGTTTTGGGTTTTACTGGCATAAACAATATGCCCTGGGTTTCTTAAACATACTTGTGTCCTGTGCACTTTGCAGGAGAGTGTCCCAGAAGCTCATCACTGGGTGAAAGCAGTGCGTGTGTGAGTTTCTGGTGGCTGCCACCAGAGTGTCCTCCCTAGCAGTTTGCTTCTTGTAGCCTGGATGTTAGTTATTGTATTAACTTGGCCGTCTTTTCAATAGGTTTCCTTGATTCCTAATGCATTTCAGCCTTTTAAAATATATATTTTGGCCATTTGTGATGAAATATTTTCATTATAGTAAACCTTTGGTAGTAAATAGTGGCGTACCCTCTAATCCAGCAACTTTGGAGGCTGAGGCAGGAGGATCACAAGTGTAAGGCCAACCTGGATAACTTGGTGAGGCCCTAAGTGATTTAGCAGGGCCCGGTCTCAATTAAACGAGGGCTGCCTGGTGGTAGAGCACTTGCTCGAGGGCCTGGGTTCTGACCCCATGGTGGGTGAAGAGCATGGTCAGCCTTTAGACGGGTCTGACTTACTGTGTAGTGGGGAACTACAACCTTCTACTCAAACTTAATTTTTAAAGGTCAGAACGATACTGCTGCTGAAGAAGTTGTGTTGCTCTCCTTAGGACAGCTCCAGAAAGAAACGCGACAGAGATGAGAACTTGGTCGTAGGATCGGATTTTGAGCCATGGGCCAACAAGCGGGGAGAGATCCTCGCTCGGTACACGACCACGGAAAAGCTGTCCATTGTGAGTACCGAGATGTTGTTGTGATTTTTTTCTTTGTTGCCCCAATTCTGGGCTCTCAAAGTTTCCTTTATATCAGTGTTAATCTGGGAAAAATGTGCTATGTGACTTTAAAAAAAAGTCAAACCAGGGATGACAGTTTCCAAAAAGAATGGAACTGCAGAGCCTTTGGGGAGCTGAGGCATGAAGCGCGGAGAACGCCCGTCCCTGCAGGGCCTGCGGCCCACGGCTGGGTTTGAGCCCAGAGCCCAGCGCTGTTTCTTGGGCTGGCTGGGGGTGGGTGGACTTGGAGCTCACCCGCACTTGGCAGGCTGCTCTTGGCAGGACAAGAGCCACCAGGCCAGCGGGTGAGTGCCTGTGGCAGTTAAGGTTCCGTCCAGTAGGTGTAACCAGGGTCCTCCCAAACACTGTCACCAAGAGTGACGCATGCTCCTCTCACTGTGAAAGACCAGCGGTGGGTCATTGGGGCTGGTGTGGCAGCTCCAGGTCATCAGGCTCCATCTTGCTGCTCTGCTATACGTCGTGTGCCTCATGGTCAAGGTGAAGGGAAGAGGTGTACCTCCCGTTGGAGGCTGCACGAGTCCCTCACAGCCCTCCGTCCATGTTGTCTTGAAGGTGACCATGGACAGTGCAGGAACGCAAAGGGGTGCTGGGAAGGTGGCCTGCGCCTGACAGTTGACCAGGGAGGGAGGCGAGCCCAGGGGGCAGTGGAAGGCTGTGCCACAGGGCCCCCCTCCTTCCCGTGGTATCTCAAGCAGAATGACAGAATTGCTGGACTATTTAAAAAAAATTTTTTTTTTCTGGATGCACAGTTAATGCAGAGCAGTGATTCTCAACCTAGAGTGATTTTATCCCACTGCGGTCATTGGAAATTAGACATTTTGGTGGTCAGAGGTACAGGGGTGGTCCTGGCATCTGATGGGTAAGGGCCAGAGCTGCTATAGGATGTCCCACAGTGCAGAGGACAGCCGCCACTAAAGAATCATCCAGCCCCAGGTGATGGCAGTGTGGGGGGTGAGAAACCCTGACGTAGAAAAGTTAAAAATAGTTCTGTTGTGGCTGCTGTCATATCAAAAATTTTGATGTTGGCTCATGCTGACACATGGAAGCGGGTGTGTCTTGCTCTTTTATAGACCCCAGAGCCCCTCTCCTTAATTATTGAGAGCCCTGAATTGAGTAGGAACTTGAATCTCCAGTGGTTCCAATGACCTTGTTTTCCTTCTTTGAATACATACTTCCATCTGGACAGGTAAGTGGCTATATTGCCCTAGATTTTAAAGTTATTAATGAATTTTTTGTCTCTGCAGAATCTTTTTATGGGATCTGAAAAAGGTAAGAAAAGTTTTTTGTTTTCATGGGAAAATTCTGCCACTTTAATATAATTTTACAAGTGAAAAGTTTGTATTAAATGGTCCTGATGCTTAATTCCATTGAAAGCTCTAAGATTGCTTATAGATACAGAGCTGAAATACTCGGAGCAGAACAAAGAGACAAGATGGTTCCTGGGAGTAACAGATGAGTTTCCTGTTTTTTAAGAGACGCAGGGGACCTGTGTCTCCCTCTGTCTCCTGATGCAGGGGACTGCTGTGGACATAGTTCCTTTGCCCTAAGGCTTTGTCCCTGGTGAAACCACAGCTGTGCTGGTGCAGGGTTATGCACCCCATCTTGGCAGCCTCTGGTGCCTGAACACAGCGGTTTTCTCTGCTGAGACTCGGTCACAATCTCTGGACCAGGGTGTCCTGAGGGTCTGTGTGGCAGGAACCCTGAGAAACCTGTGTGTCCAGGCAGACCCTGGCCCCGCTGCTGACTGCACCTATAGGATGGGACACGGTCATTCCTTTTCTGAAGTTGTCCTACATCACTAGGCGCAGAGGGGCACAGCCGGGGTCACATGCAGATCGTTGACTTGCCAGGTGCAATCCCCCACCCCCAACTCTGCAGGCTGGGACATCACGGGAGAAATAGAGAGGGGTCCGATAGCAGTCTGGAACGGGTCCTTATTCCTAGTGTTGAAGATTGAACGCCCCAGAAAGGCTGAGGCAAGCATGGAAAGCAAGCTTTATTTAAGAAAAGGACAGACTTCTCTGAGAGAAGGTGCCCCAAAGTTGGGAGTCTGCAGGAGAGGTGTGTTTTGCTCTCTTACAAACCCCAGAACCGCGCTCCTTAATTATTGTCTTGTCTTTCTTCCCCAAATACATGACCAAGGGCAGGGACCCAGAGGTTGTTAGAAACCCAGAGTGCTCAGGAGCACGACCCTTGGCTTCTGTTTGGTAACTGATCCTCATCCTCTCTCAACCCCCATCATTCATTACCTACACTACCTGACCTTTGCCTCCCACCCCTCTTGGCGGAGGAATGTGACATCCTGTCCACTTGGGCCAGGCCGAGCTGCAGGCAGATTGCTTTGGGCAAAGAAAGCTTGGAGGGGGAGGGTCGGCACAGTTGGCCCGTTTTATAGAATTGGTCTCTTAAGCTCTTGTTCCCACCATCATCTGTCCCCTGTAGCACCTTCCTTATGGGTGCAACTTTTATCCCAGGGTAAAAAGTAAATCACACCTGCCTCGGGCAGGTCAAGTGCAAAGGGCAGAGTGTGGGGCGGCAGGAGTTCTCCCACCTGCTGAGGATGCTTTGGCCTGCTTGTTAAACCTGAAGATAGGTGCTGAGCCATAGTGGTTTGTGGGCTAGTGTGAGCCGTCTGGACCTCAGAACAGGATGCGCAGCCCCTGAAGGTGGGGAAGGGGTTCTGAAGCGGTGGGTCCTGGAGGGCAGCCACCAGCTGGACCATCCCCCTGCCTGTGGCTGGCCTGGTGTCCTTTCCTTCCTCTGTCCACAGCTCTCTGCTGACGTGGGAAATGCTGGCAGACCTGGAGGGAGACGGCTTGTCTTGTTTGCCTGCAGAGAGGGCTTTGAGGCCCCAGGGCCACCTCTGGGCAGACCTGAGGCTGTTCCCTGTGGGCAGTGTGTGGCAGTGGTTCCCTGTGGGTACAGGCCCAGCAGGCCCTCTGCTCCAGATAGCGGAACAGGCCATGAGAGAGGGCGACTTTACTTGCTAGTGTTTCTGATGGAACTCGGACTCCCCATAGAAGTTGCTTTCAAGATCTGTTTTCTGTGATGAAATCACTTCCCGGCATTTTTAAAAATAATTTTTTGGTTGTAGATGGACACAACACCTTAATTTTACCTATTTTTATGTGGTGCTGAGGATCAAACCCAGTGCCTCAACCATGCGAGGCGAGCGCTCTGCCGCTGAGCCCCAGCTCCTCCTGGCATCTTTACTCACGATGAGGTGTGGCGGGAGGCTGCCTTCTCTTGCGGCTGTGGTGCAGGAGAAATGCCACCTGTGTGACGTGATGCCCTCTGTTTAGGCAGAGCTGGGGCCGCCGGGTCTGCGATGTCGGAGAAGGTCCGGACCCGCCTGGAGGAGCTGGATGACTTCGAGGAGGTGAGCATCCCCCGTTGAGCACGGGGTGGGGGCTCTCCGTCCTGCCTAGCGAGGTCCTTCTGGGTGGCTGCCCTTGGATTATGGCTCAAGCTGCACTCTTGGCTCCATCCAGGGAAAGGTGCCAGCTGTGCAGTTGGCTGAGCGTGTGGGAGCCTGGCTGGGGCTGGTTTCTGGAGGCGACTTTTCTTTTTGTGATACCTGAGCCATCCTGGTCATCTGGGGACGACTCCTGACAGTAGAAACCACCTGGAGCCCCCTCCTAGGAAGTGGCTTTGTGCGGTACAGCGATCACAGCTTGCAGTTTACACATGGCCGCCCTGACGGCTGGATGTGGCTTTCAGGAATCTTGTAGTAGGGCTGCATGTGGCTCGTTTGCCAGCTCTTAAAAAAAAAAAAAAAAAAAAAAACAGGTAAAGCTAATGGGTACATGCAGATTTCTAGCTTCTGGAAAAGCCCCCCAACAGCTGAGGGCAGACATTCCTGCACTGACCAGGGCATGCTCTGCCAGGTGACCACAGTCCTCCCTGACCTGGCTCACAGGTGAGCATCACTTCCTGGCCCCCAGACCCAGGTGAGCTTGTCCCCTGCAGCACAGCATGGTGACAGAGACCAAGAGCCTGAGCCAGCCTGCCTGGTCTTGCATCCCTGCTCCCTGGTGGCTCCTCCTGGGTGCTCGCACAGCTCTCCTAGCTGCCCTGTGCCTGGGTCCACCTCCCTAGGGTGTGGGAAGGCTGAGGAGCGCCCACCTGTGCTGCTGTTGCAGGGCTTCAGCGGGTCAGAGTCTCTGAAGGGCTCAGGACAGCGCCCAGCGCGGTGAGCCCCACAGATGTTGGCTGGCATGGTTGCTGGTTCTGAGTCCAGAGGCCGTGGCTGGAGCGCTGGCCACAGGGCGGCCCTGGGCACTTGCCTCGCCTCTGCCTTTGTTCACCTGTGAGATGGGGATAAAGAAGAGCTGTGTGGGCTGAATGGGGGGCTTTGCGAGCAAGAAGGGACGCATAATGCCCATCCTGTGCAGGGTCCTCTGGCTCTGAGATAGCCGCTGGGTGCTCCGCAGAGTCCAGGAGCCCCGGATTCTTCCTAGTTCAGAAATGACCTTTGAGTCTCAGCCTCTGCTGGTCCAGGAAAACTGCTGAGGGCTGGAGTCAAACTCGGGAGTCTGAGCACCTGAAAGTCACCGGAGCTGGCCCAGCTGAAAATGGGGCTGTCCCACAGGAGGTGGGGGCAGCACCCTGAACCCACAGGCACCTGCAGAGCCACCCAGAAACGTAGCGCTGTCCTCCCTGCCTCCCAGCTCTGTGGGCTCCTAGCTGATCCCTTGGGCTTTTTTTGTCCTTGTTTCTCTCTGCTCCCAGCAACAGTGGCTGCCGGTGGCTCTCAGGTCAGCATAGATAAGTGAGGGTAAGGCTGGGTTTCGCTGCAGTAACGAGAAAGCCCGTATCTGTGGTTTAACCTAACCAAGGTTTCCTGCTGGGTCACCGTGCATGCCCTGTGCTGGTGGCAGACATCGCGTTGTCTTGTGACGCTGCTTCTCAACATTTGGCTTCCAAGGTTGTCAAGCTGAGCTGAATAGGGGGTAATTTCTCGCTGCCAAAGCCCAGAAGGAACACAGACCATTCTGCTCGTAGCTCATTCTCCAGGCTGGTCACGCAGCTGCTTACTGCAGAGGGGCAGGGAAGCCTCTGCCTCATAGCTCAGATGACCGCTTGGGATCCATCCACATTTCCTGAGCCTTCTGCTCTGAGGCCCTTTGGAGGAGCTCCTTCCTGGGGAATCTAGTATGTGTGTGAGAAGCATGTGGCCCTGCACTGTCACGTGTATCTGTGTGCCCTCCCTCCTGGGAGCAGTGAGACTAGCCCCCCAAGACAGCTGGGGACCAGGAGTACTGCTGTGTCTGTGAAGGGCCAGGCCACACATCTGCCTTCATGGCATGTCACCTGTGGGGGTGGCAGTGTGCTCTTGTGCCCGCAGCTTTTGCTGAGGGACTCCCTGTCCCCAGCACTCTCCCCTTGAGTTGGCCACTTCCAGGCCCAGCTGGCTCTGGGCTCCACGAGGTCTTGTCTATATCACTTCCTGCAGGAAGACTGTCCTCCTCCCATCCATAGCCTGAGCCTTGGCTGCTGAGTTTCTGCCACTCTAAGGTGAACCTTCTCCCCCACCTAGAATGCCTGGGAAATCGGCTGTGTCCCTCAGTCGTGCTGTCGGCCAGCACAGCCTCCCCTTCCTTGGCGGCATGAGGGATGGTGTTGCTCTTGCCCATGGGCACCTCCAGCTCAGTGAACGGGGGTTTCTCTCCACAGAATTGTTCCCCCTGAGCTTTCTCCTTCCTCCTCTCCCCTTTGCTTTGTTGTTTTGTTTTTTTTTTGGAAACAGGGCCTCACTGTGTAGCCCTTGAACTCTTGAGCTCAGGGAATCCTGCCTCAGCCTCCTGAGTACCTGGGAACACAGGTGTACCTCTGGGCCTGACTCCCTGTTCCCCGCAAGCACTTATCTTAAACCCCAGTGGTGTACGGAGACCGTCTCTGTGCCTGAGCATCTGAGCAGAGATGTTTGTACACCCGGCCTTCAGTACCACACCTGGCCCGTGTCGGCCCCAGTCGGTGGGGAATGAGGCGAGTCCTGTCCCACTCACCAGAGCACAGGAGGCAGGGTCCCCAGAATCATGCCATTCTTAAAGAGACGGAGCTGTGTAACTCAGGCCCTGCCTGCCTCCAAGGCCTGCCTCGGCCCCTGCACTCCACTCCTGGGCAGAAAACCCGAAGGGCCTCTTTGGTTGCAAAACACAGCTCTCTGTCCTGGTAGGGCCATGAGGGGTGTTTAGAGGTCGCAGCTGGTACCCGGTTTTTTCTAATGGAGGTGGTGGTCAGTTTTCCCTCTTCTTTCTGTGCCTACCCCTTTGCCTTCCACCCACAGGGATCCCAGAAGGAGCTGTTGAACTTGACTCAGCAGGATTACGTGAACCGCATAGAGGAACTCAACCAGTCACTGAAGGACGCCTGGGCCTCTGACCAGAAAGTGAAGGCCCTGAAGATCGTCATCCAGGTCAGGTCTAGTGCTTCCCACCCTCTCCAGACTTCAGGGTCTTGCCCTCATTTATTTATCTTTTTCACATACTTCCTTTGAAAGGCTATGATTATGAATCTATATTTTTATGAAATGACTAATCCCAGGGCCACTATGTGCAGCTGCACAGGTTGTACACTGTACAATTCCAGGAAGCACTCCTGGATGCTGAATTGCAGAAGAGATGGTACCCCCTGGGTTACGCTGTATGTAAGTCCTGGTACAACTATTCTGACATATTTATGACTTGCATACACTAAAGAGTATTTTTTTGGAGCGGCGGGTACCAGGGATTGAACTCGGGCGCACTTGACCACTGAGCTACCTCCCCAGCCCTATTTTGTATTTTGTTTAGAGACAGGGCCTCACTGAGTTGCTTAGCACCTTGCTTTTTCTGAGGCTGAACTTGTGATCCTCCTGCCTCGGCCTCCCAAGCTGCTGGGATTACAGGCATGTGCCACCATGCCCAGCTCACACTAAAGATATTTGTATACCTTCTGTAGGGCTAGTTTAGTGGTCATGGATTCTTTTTATTTCCTCTTCAATTCTGAACGGTAGCTTTGCTGGCTTTTAGACTCTTTGAGTTGAAGTCGGGATGAGCCTGAGTCTACCTCTAGTTGTGACCTGATGTTCTTCTCTTGAAGCTTTCGATATTCAATCTTTGTTCTCTGTTAGGCATTCTGATGATGGATGTGTATTGGAGAGATTCTTGTGAATCTTGTCTGTTTGGGCTTCATATTTTCTGTACATGGATATCCATCTCATTCCTGAGGTTTGGAATAGGTTCCTAATGCTCTTAGCCTGTGTTTCTATACCCTCTGTCTCACTGACTCTTAATTTTGGTCTCTTAATGTCCCAGTGTTCGTGTGTGTTCTGATCATGGTCTTTAATTTGTCTTTACTTAGTGTTGTAGCCCCAAAGCCCTGTCTTAAGGCCTCAGGTTCTGTTTTCTGTGCAGTGTAGTCTGCTGATATCACAAGTGGATTTCTTATTTGTTCACTGTGCCTCATTCCTGGGTATTCCAATTGATTTCTTTTCAGAGTCTTTGCTGAAATGGTCTTTGGCCTCCTGTAATTACTCTTAATTGATTCCTTAATTCATTCCTTAGGTCTTATTTTAGCTCATTAATCATTTTAATCATCGGGTTTTAAAAGCCTGCCTTTGGCATCCCATCCCCTCCATGTCCGTGTGTCCTTTGGCTGGACTATAACTCGGGAGACTTGTTTGCCTGTTTCCTCAGACTTTCGAGGTCTGGGACTTGGGCATCTGTTGAGATGGGTTCCTCCTTCTCTTTGCGAGGACGTCTTCTGGTGTGTGGTCACCCGTTGTCTTCAGTCCTGCATCTGGTGTTCCGGATCTGATGAAGGCTTAGTGTGGCTCCACCGCAGTTCCCGCCTCACGGCCTCTGTGCGCAGCTGCCGCCGTCCCCTGCTGCACGGCCTTGGCACTGTGCTCCTGGGAGCCGTGCCCTTGCCCCTTGGTCTTGCTGTGGGAGTAGCTGTCCAGGGTGGGACCTGACGTTCCCCTCTAGTCACTCCTGCTTGGGGCCTGGCATTGGTCTGGGGCTCTGGCCTCCCCTGTCCTGTATTTTAGGTGCTGTTGAAGCTTGAGCCAGGTTAGTCTGCGGAGGGAGGTGAGCCTTCACTTTGCCGACAGTGGAGTCTCTACCCACGACCTTGGAGTGTGCCAGTTTCTGACCCGCCCCTCCTTCCACTCCCCATCTGCTCCACCATCTTTCTTCCGCACACAGCAAAGACTGAGCAACTGTTTTCAGGCCTACTTGATCCGGCTGGCTTGGTACCTTTGTGATCAGTGGGTCTGTGTCTCTGATAATGTGCAGTTTTTTGGTGGGGGAGGGTACCAGGAATTGAACTTGGGGACACTCGACCACTGAGCCCACATTCCCAGCCCTATTTTGTATTTTGTTTAGAGACAGGGTCTCACTGAGTTGCTTAGTGCCTCACTTTTGCTGAGGCTTGTTTTGAACTCGAGATCCTCCTGCCTCAGCCTCCTGAGCCCCTGGGATCATAGGCGAGCACCTCTGTGCTGGCTGATACATGAGTTTTTAAGACACTCTGAGTGGTCGTGCGGTGATGGGAACATGCCCTACTGTTAGAAGTGTGCTCATTAAATCCTCCATGCTGGGGAATCTGCTAATCCGTGAGAACCCCTGGTCACAGGGCAGGTCCTGGAAGGAAAGCAGCTTATTCTGGTTTTTGACCTTGAAGATCATCCTGTCTTGGCAAAACATGCCCAGAAGTGCACGTCCGGGGGATCATTCACAAGCCACTGTCCTCAAGGCAGAATTGAGGATTTCTGAAGGGCCCTTTTTAAGAGCCATGTAGTTGAGAGCACAGGCCTCACTGTCACATACTGTTTTCTCTTTGGTACTGGGAAGTGGACGAACCCAGAGGCACTTGACACTGAAAGTGGAAGTGGATGAACCCAGAGGCACTTGACACTGAAAGTGGAAGTGGACGAACCCAGAGGCACTTGACACTGAAAGTGGCACTTATCTTACCTGCCTCTTGTGAGGATGGTTTGGAGACCCAGGGGCCTCCGCCAGGCCTTGGAGTGTGGAGGGCTCCATGTAGCAGGGCTGCGTCCCCACAGCTTCTCGTCAGTCTGCTGCTCTTCAGCGCCCGGCCTTAGTTCATGAGTAAACAGCCCTGACGCTGGTCCCCCGCTGCCCACGAGGGGTCACCTGCAAGTGGCCAGGTGAGCAGCTCTATGCTGAGAAGGGCTTTCGTAAGCAGCGTCTCTCTGCGATGGTCGTGGCTTAGAACTGCGCTTGACATCTGGAAGAGATTTAGCTCGTGTCCTCTGAAGCAAAGGGACCGTGAGTGCCAGTTACGTCCACATCTGCCTGAGCGTGCCGATGCGGGAGCCCGTCTCCCTTCTCTGCAGCAGGGTTTTTCTGTGAGGAAGCTGGCGACTTGCTTAAAGTATATTTTACAGGTCACGAAGTCCACCGAAGGCTGGGCATGTAGCTTGTGGGTAGAGCACTCGCCCCCTTGCACTCGGCCTGGGTTCCATCCCCAGCACCCCAGGAAGAAAAAGTCCACCTGTTCTAAGTGTGAAATCGGTGATTTTTAGTAGGTGTCTAGAGTCGGGCAGCTGTTGCGCACGATCCGGTTTTGGAGCCTTTTCCTAGTCCCCAGTTCCCTCAGGCCTATTTGCATTTAAACCCTGCTGCCATACCCAGCCCCAGGAACCCACAGACTGCCTTCTGACCTCACCGTCCTTTCCTGGGTGATTCATACGTGAGGGCTCCGTTGGTACCCAGTCCTTGGCATCTGGCTGCTTTTGGTTTAGCTTGATGGTTTTGAGAGTAGTTCGTCTTGTGGCATCTGCACTTTGTGCTTTTTACTGCTGTATAGTACTCCATTGTCTGGATGACCACATTTTGTGTATCTACAGACAACGTTGATGGACATTGGGGTTGTTTCCACTCCGATGTTGAAAAATACTGCCAGGAATGTTTGCACACGAGTCTTTGAACTTATGTTTTCATTCTCGTGGGTAAATTCCTGGGAATAGGCTTGCTGTCTCATATGGTAAGTTTAATTTGTTGAGAAAGAAACTTTTCAACTGTTAGGGAAAATAGCACCATCTACGCTCCTATAAGCAGGGCCCAGGGGCCCCAGGTCCCCCACATCTCCAGCACCACCATGGTCCACCCGTTTAGCCTAAGCAGCCTAGTAGTGTGAAATATCTCCTCGTGCTTTGGATTTACAAAGCCCTGATATTAATGATGTGGAGTTTCTTGTGCTTATTCGCCATTTGCATATCCTCTTGAGTGAAATGCCTATTCATGGCCCATCCCTTTTAAAAGTGGTATCTTGTTGAGTTGTAATAATTATATATTCCTTTTTTTCTCTCCTTTTTTTGTGCTGGGGGTGGAATCCAGGGCATGGAACCCAGGGCATGGTGTGTGCTAGACAAATGCTCTACCACTGAGCCCATATACTGTTTTCTCTTTGGTACTGGGAAGTGGACGAACCCAGAGGCACTTTACCACTGAGCTGCGTCCCAGCTCCCCCCCTCCTTTTTTTTTTAATTTTCAGACAAGTCCTCATTAAGTTGCTGAGGCTGGCCTTGAACTCGCAGTCCTCCTGCCTCAGCCTCTGCGTTGCTGGGATGGCAGGCGTACCCCTACCCTGTATTCCTTTTGGTTTATTTATTGGGCTGGGGACTGAACCCAGGGCCTCGTGTGTGAGGCAGGTGCTTTACCACTGACCTACATCCTTTGCTCCTCATGGGTTCTTGATGCAAGTTCTTTGAGTACAGTCGTCTGTTGCTTAACAGCAGGGAGCTGTGCTGAACAATGTGTCATTAGGTGGTTTTTTCCTTGGTGGGCAGTCGCACAATGAGCTCAGACTTCAGGCAACTGCAGCCGTCTTAAGGTGGTTGAGGTGGACTTAGGGTCCCCACTGCACTCGGGCGTGACGTTGGCGCGTGCCTGAGACTACTCCAGGCTGGCTTGTCTCTTCATGACGGTGTCTTTCCAAGTGCAGGCTTCAGCTTTAACAAACCTCATGAACTTTCTCATGTTGGCTCATGCCCTTGGACTCGGATCTAAGAACTCTGCCTAATCAAAGGTACTGAGGGCTTTTCCCATGTTGTCTTCTAGAAGGTAGTTAGCACTTGGATTTAGGTCTGTGGTCCATCATTGTGAGTTATGTGTGTGGGATGAGGTCAGAGTCAGTGTTTTGGTGCGTGGACACAGCTGTCCCAGCAGTGTGCTGAAGGTTCCTCCCCCTGTTGACTGTTGTTACCTTTGTTCAAAGTCAGCTGGCATAAATGCAGACATTAGCGTCTGTGCCTCGGTGTTTAATTCCAACCATTTATACGATTGTCCTTTTGCCAGTTTGATGCTGTCAAACTGTAGCATCATAGTAAGCTTTGAAACTGGATCACGTCTTTTAATGTTTGTTCTTTTAAAAATTGTCTTTTTTATTCCGAGTCCTTGTGTTTCTGTGTGAATCTTGGGGCAGCCACTCTGGGGTACTACGCCCTGCAGGCCTGGCTCTGGGTAGGAACTTGGGACACATCAGTTCCTAGGAACTGAGCCGTAAACAGTCTCCAGGATTCAGAGCTGCCCCACCCCCAGCGCTGGAATCCGCCAGGGCAGTGGTTGAACTTGGAACCCTTATGAAAGGGCACCTGAGACCCAGTCTGTGAGGTGACAGGAAGTGGAGTGCCACAGACATGCAGCTGCCCTGTTCTCTGTGGGCACTGCTGGCTTACCAGCTGGCATCCACTAAGGAGGGTCTGGGCTGTGGGAAGTCATCTTTTGCTTTGAGGTGTATAATGCTAAGGAGAAGCTGGTGACTCCGACAGCTTAGTGGGTAACGATGCTAAAACAAAAATGCCTGTCGCCCTCTCTTGTTGCAGTGCTGAGGTTTGAACCCAGGGCATCATGCCTACTGGGCATGTGCTCTACCCCCTCCTTTGGGTTTTTTTGAAACTGGGCCTCACTAAGTTGCCCAAACTGGCCTCAACCTTGGGATCCTCCTACGTCAGCCTCCTGAATCCCCTGGATTACAGGCATGTGCCCCATGCCCCTCTAAAATTTTTAAATTTTTAAATGACATGTCTTTCTGAGGGTTAACTGTTGGGATGATAAAATACAGGAGAGTTACTTGATTACTTTTGCTGACTTTTGAATTCATAATGACAGGGAGTTAAATCCAGCTTTTCAAGGTAGAACTCTCCTGCCTCTGATTTTAAAAGACAACTCAACTTGGAGTGGTTGGTGCCACATTGTGCGGCTGTGGCCTTCCCTTTGGCACAGGGAGGATGTAGGGATTGCCCAGGCTGAAGTGTCCTCAGCACCCAAGAAACGTGCTCGTGAAGCTGGTCACAGTCCCCTTTAGAGGGAAGCTCAGGGTGGAGTGTAATCCATATAGTTTCAGGAGCCATAGAGATTTACTTGTGAGTCACTTCATAGGAATCCAGCCAGGCTGAAATAAACCAGAGGAGGCCACGCGCGGAAGCCATCGGGACAGGCTGGTCCAGGAGAGGGGTGCCAGGCTGGGGACTAGGCTGCGAGGCCCTGGCTCTCCTGGAGCTTGGCTTTCCAGCACCTTCCTTAATGAGAGTCAGTCGTGAGCAGAGTCTCGGCCGTTTGTCAAACACAGCGGTCTTGCTTCTCACGTCGTCCCCAGGGCTGCACAGGGTTTGGCCACGGAGAGACCTGAATCTGTGGGCAGAGGTCATTCGTCCTCCAGGCCTAGAGGGTCCCAGCCAAGTCAGACAGTGAGTTTTCTTTTCTCTTTGTAGTGTTCAAAGCTGCTTTCAGACACCAGTGTGATTCGGTTCTACCCGAGCAAGTTTGTCCTCATCACCGACATACTGGACACGTTTGGTAAGTACCATGTTCACCTCATAGGTAGGAAATGTTTGTTCTGTCAGGTGGCTGCGGTGCTTTAAGGTAGGCCCTGTGTGGTCTAAGGAATTAGATGAGTAGGAAGGCACCAGACCAGACCTCCTGATCCGTTAGCGTGTTTCCCATGTGTTTATTTTTAACTGACTCGCATGGAAAATATTTGTGTGATAGAGCATGCGGCTTGAAGATATGCGTAATGCATAATGATCAGATTGGGGTGATTGGCATAGCTTATCTTCAGATATTTATCATTGCTTTGTGTTGGGAAAATGCGAAATCCTACTTTGAAATGTTCAATTGTTGTCGACTGTAGTTACCTTACTCTGCTTCAGAACGTTAGAAGTTACTTCTTCTTCTCCAGCTGCAAAGGGTACTGTTTTTGAAAGATCTTGGATGTTATTTTTTTTCTAGTCTTTGGAGAGACTGATAAATGAATACACGAAGTTGGGGCGCACACGTGCTAGCTGAGCCAGCTGTGGTCTGTGGCTGCCTCAAGGGCATCTGAAACTCACATTTTTCAGAACTGAATGTTAGCTCTCTGTCACTATAACAAAATGCCTGATGTAGTCAGCAGATGAGGAGAAGGTTTGTTCAGGCTGAGTTCTACAGGTTCCAGTTCATGACTGGGCAGGCCCGTGGCTTTTAGGCCCGTGGTGGAGCCAATCCCCTCCCTTCATAGGAGGACCAAGAAGCAGAAGGGCAAGCAGGGGTCTGGGGTCCCATAATGCCCCCTGCACCCCCTGTGATCTAAAGACCTCCCACGAGGTTCCATCTGATCAAGGTCCCACCCCTCCCAGCAGAGCATGCTGGACACCAGGCCCTTGACTCCTGGGCCTTTGGGACCAACTGTGGCACTGAACACGACCTGCCTTCCCAGCCCTGTCCCGGCCCCTGCGGAGTTCTTGTCACAGGGCATGGCTTCCGTGTCGCCAGTTACCCTCGTGGGGAGCCTGAGCGTGTTTCCCACCTGCTGGGTCCAGTCGCCAGGTCTTCTGTTCAGGCCCCTGACGTCTCCCTGCACATCCGTTTTCTCTGGCTTCTCTGTTGAGAACCTCCATCCTTGCCAGAGTCCCCTGCCTGAGGATGACTGTGGTCCTCTGAGGTCATTCTGTGTCATCGTGGCTGCCTCTGGCCCTGTGTCCCACGCTGGAGGCAGGGTGACCTTTTGGAGTCCAGTAGAGATGTCCAGACTGAAGAGCATCCCTGAGGGGCAGCGGTGCCCGAGGCCTGCTGCTTTGCCCCGAGTGGAGCCAGGACATCCTGCTGTGGGCACTCTACCCAAACCAGGCGGCTCCCTCAGCCATATGTGGTGGTCACCGAGGAGCTGCCTGAGAGGAGGTCGGAGCAGAGGCACTGGCTGTCCTACCAAGGACGGGCCCATGAGCTCCCAATCCAGCAAGTCTTGTCTGTAACCCAGCAAAAGATCTGATGGGTCAAAAAGCAAAATGTCAGGAGACCCAGTCGGTTCGCATGTCCTGGGCCTGTTGCAGAGACGGGGCCTGAGGGTATTAGCTAAAACAAGTGGCAGAAAACCTAACTAGCCCGGGAGCTGGGGGCATATGCTGCAAGTTCAGGACCTCCCATGAGGCTGCATCTCGTCAAGGACCCACCCCTCCCAGCAGGGCATGCTGGACACCAGGCCCTTGACTCCTGGGCCTTTGGGACACGATAAAGAATGCCCACTGGGGGGCCGTAGGTACAGCTGGATCCGGGAGCTCACGTGGCGGGTCAGGACCTCGTACTCCCCTGGGGTGGCTGCCTTCACTCTCGCACTCCCCAGCCCTCGCCTCCCTCAGTTTCCTGCTCGTCCCAGGGAAGCATCGCAGCGGGAGACCTGGACTCCCATCCCCTGGTGGCTCACACCGCCAGTCACTCAAGAGCCGGGCGTGGCATCTAGGGAGGACGTACCCCGACTTCTCAGGCCTGGGGGCAGCCAGAGGAAAAAGGGGATGCCGAGCAGGAGGAGGAGCAGCCCCGCCGGAGGGGTTCTGGGTGTCCCTGGGGGAGCGCCAAGGAGTCCTGGCGAGGCAGCCCGTGGGGCTCTTGACAAATGTAGAAATAAGTTTAAGGCACAGGGGACAGGCGTTCACACACTCTCGTCTAGAGACGTTTTTGGGGTTCCCAGCTCCCCTGTTAACGGGAAGTTGAGAGGGCGGGCAGGTGTGGGAAGGTATGTGGGGGTGTCGTCTGGTCTCTGGGTGGTTATGGTGGTTTGGCTGTTCTCAATCTGATCAGTGGGGGACACTAGGAAGGTGTCCTGTGTTGGTTTTACATATCACTTGGCTGGAGTGGCCAATGCACACAGGGGATCTCTACTGGCACCTTCCAGGTCCTTTGGAATTGAACCGTGGGGACGTTTTACCTGTGACCCAGCACACAGGCTGCCTGGGCCCCGCCCTCCCTCCCCACTCAGAACAGGGCGTCCGCAGGGCAGGGGTGCCGTTTGGTCTGCCCTTAGCGCCGTTCCTCAGGTCCACTGAGGCAGCCTCGTGGCAGGTGCTCACGGAGACTTGTGCTTTGGTGTTTGAGTTTGCAGTTTTTAGACGAGCAGCAGAGCCCTGCCCACCTTGGGTGGAAACACGGATCCTGTGGTCCCTTTCTTTTCACGCACCCTCTGCTCCATGAGATGCGTGGTGGAGTAGGAGCAGGTGTCTGGGGTTGCTGATGATCAACAGGGGTTACAGCATCTTGCAGGGATGTGGGATGCAGCCCAGGAACGCACAGCGGGAGGCACAGGCCTGGCCTTTGTTGGGCCTCACTAGAGGCTGTGGGCACAGGTGGGCCTCTTGCTTCCCTGCCTGCCTCTCCTCTTCCAGAGTTGTAAGAACTTGAGCCTTGCTTTCTCCACCTAGGATTGGGTAGGTCTCAAAATAGTTGTCCAGTAGTTTAACAAAAGAAAAAGTAGCTTGTTTGAAAATAACTTTTTAGTTTCAAGGCTCCTTAGACGTTAAGTGACATACAGCAGTTGTATGTTTTACAAGCTAGTTTTAGAGATGGTAAGCTTTTGAGTAAGAGTAAAGGGTGTTTCAGCCGAGTCTGTTCTGTGCATGTGGGAGGTGAGAAGTGCCATTTGCTGGTGTGACTTGCTGTGTGAGGGCTGAGGCGAAACAGCCTGCAGCTGCTGCTGGGCTCTGTGGGCATCATGGGGGATGTCTCTGTGCCAGGCGTGGCTGCCATGGGGAGCCCAGAGCCCCAGTAACGAAAGAAAGCGGGCCTGCCAGGAAGAAGTGGCAGGTGGCGCTGAGACCTGGGGCTTGTTTGCTGAAGCTTCCTGGGCGCTGAGCTCCCCTGGAGAGCCACAGACGCTCGGTGTCCCTGCTGCACCCCGACGGTTACGTCTGCACCTCCAAGGGTGGAAGTGGATGCCCAGGTCTTTGTAGGAGCCCCAGGTGCTCTGAAGGTGCAGCCAGGTGTGTGAAGAAGCGGGTTGGAGGGAGATGGGATGTCTGTCACTGTTCCTAGATCCCAGAGTCCCTGGCATGTCCTCTACCAGTGGCTCTCACCCTTGAGTGTGTGGAAGGATCTCCCTTCACCGTGGTTCAAGGGCCACATTCCTGGTCAGCCGCCACTGTGGCCCAGCAGCCCAGTCTTCCCCCAGGTCTTCAGTGACTGTAGTGCAGGCGGCTGTAGGAAGGCGCCAGGCAGTGTCCCACCTCACTCTCCTGACACTGGTGACATCATCTGATCCCAAGTCTCTGATCAGATGTGATCCTTCTGACTCCTCGTTTCCACTTACGGGGCAGTCTGCTCTTGGCTGCCCTGAGTAACGGGGGTCGGAAAAGGAGCAAGTACTCACAAACTGAAGGTGACTTGGGAGGGTCAGAAGATGAAGAGCTGTCATTTTTATCCCCAGTGTATTGATAGCATTTTCCAAAGTCCACATACAGAATAAAGCTGCTTATGCTGGCTTTAGAGTCCAGAGTCCCCCTGGCTTTGTGGATGAGCTTTACGGGTGCACAGCCATCGGGTTTACCGTCCCCCCCACCCCCACCGGGGATACTGTGGGCTGCGTCAGTGAACCTGAGTGGCGAGCTGGTGGCCCAGGGCCCCCAGAACCTGCAGTGTCCGTCTGTCCAGCAACTGGGCACCCACTCCGTGTCAGGTGTGGGTCAGGGAGCAAGCACAGCCTCTGCCCTGTGACGCTTGCTTTCCACTGATCCCGAATTCTAGCAGCCCTCGGCCCAGGCAGGCCCGGGAGGGAAGGAGGGAGGGAGGGAGGCTGATGCAGCCCCGCAGTGCACGCCCTCGGGGAGCGGCTGCTCAGCTGCTCCAGCTGTGTGTTGTCTGTAAGGATGGGGCCACTCGTTGGCACATCATATGTGAAAATGTCAGTGTTTCTTGAGTTCTGAGTTTACTTGGTAACTAGTTTAAAAAAAAAAAAGGCCAAACAAGCCTGGTTTGAGGCTGGGTTCAGCCCATGGGCTGCCTCTGATCTAACAGAATGTAGAGGATGGGACTGTTTTTACGTGTAGGAATTGGAGGCTCCATCGGCCTGAGTTTGAGTCAAAACTCTGCAGAGTAAAGTGGTCGCATTTCTTCCCCTCGCAGAAAGTGTAAGTCCCCTCTTTGATTAAAAGCCAAACAAAAATACCCCTGTGGCTTAACGTGCTGCCACTGGGTGGCAGCATGCTCTTACAAGTTCAAAGATGCCTGGGCCATGACGTGTCTTGTCTAATTAACAGACGTTTATTTAGTGTTTGCTCCTGTTGTGTGTGATGCTCACACCATCTGTTCTTTCCCTCCAGGAAAGCTGGTCTACGAGCGCATCTTCTCCATGTGTGTGGATAACCGCAGCGTCTTACCAGGTGACTCCGTAGCTGTTCTCTAGGTGATACTCTGCCCTGGGGTCGCAATTAGAGTGTTTTTATCAAGTCTGGATTTAGTGAGAACTGATAGTTTTTGTTGTGCTCAGAGTTAAAGGAACACGTTGGAAGATTTCTGATCATCTCAGTCATCCAAAAATGAGAGAAGGCTTTCAAATATGCAGAGCTAGGAATTTGGGCAAGTGGCTGGGATGTGCCCAAGTGGAAAGGCTCACAGTTAGACTCGGCCACACTCGACGCCAGCTCATTTCCTTGGCAGCCTTGACATTTGAGTACTGTCCCCCGCATCTTTCTTTCCCAGGAAACATTTCTTAAGGGGGCAAAAATCCAACTCTACACATATAAAAGAATGACATCAAATAAATCCACAGTAACAGAGGCTTTGAATCTACAGTCTGCATTAAATTTATTGCCAATTGGGTTTAATTCTCAGGTCATTATGGGGCAAGTGGGTGATGAATCTCTTGTCATAAAATGATGGTGGTGCGCACAACTCTCCGCCGTGGCCTCTTGTTGCTTTTACCCTCCTTTTAACTCTCAAGCTTGGTTAAAAGAGCGCAGCTTCTCATTTGCACAAGCCCTGCCTCCCTGTGTTCTGTGTTCCGAACAGCGGTACTTCCCAGGAGAGCAGGAGAAACTGTTCCTGAAAGCGACCCCTAATTCTTCCTTTGTTTCTCCCTCCTCCCTTCATCCTCTCCTCCTTCCTATCCTTCCATTCATCTACCTTTTAATGTTATTGAGGATTTGAGAAATCTGGATCCTCTTGTTGAACTTGCCCTGGACACCTGGGACTTCCCTGTGTTAAACCAGCAACAGCACACTTTAGCCAGCAGGTGGAATTAAATCCAAATGGGTGTTTTCTTTGGCAGCAGCAATCCCCCCCCAAACCCCCCAGTGCTGGGCTCACCCTAGGGCCTCCTGCATGCTGGACACACACTCTTGCACTGAGATACACCTCAGCCCAGCAGTTTTTAAAAGTTCTCTGATGCAGACTCATTTCTTCTGTTGTCATAAAATTAGCTACTTGGAGATCTCGGTCACTTGCCTTTGACTTTTTATCTACTAAATCATTTTCCTTCCTTATTTTCACTGACTGTCCAAACACTTTAGGGTGAAATAAGGAAAAATTACTGATAGACTCCCTGCCCAAACTGGGAAAGTTGAAAATTAGAGGTTGTTTAACATTCAATTTTCATTCTTGTCTAAATGTATTAATTGGCAGTTTTATCGCTAAAATTCTTTTCAAGCATATTTCTTTTTTACCTGGAGCCCTGCAAATCAGGCTTTTGTTCTCTCTCGAATGATCTCTTCATTTTTTTTTTCCTTTCAGTTAACATCTTCATCTGTGTGTTTTTCCTGTGATTCCAAGAACGTGAAAGGGGAAGGGGCAGACTTGGCTCAAAATTGCCACTGATACAGGGGACAGCTCTTAACCAGAATCAGGAGGGAAGCTTTGAAATCCACCCTGCATAATTCTGCCTAAAGAAATTACATAGAAAGAAACGTCCAGTGGCATGTGTGCCCATTCTTTCCGTTTGAATCAAGTTCTGCGTGGTGAATTTAATACTAGGCTCTTTGCCTTCAGGAGTTTTGACTGAGGTTTAGCCCTCATGTGTTCAGAGTGGTCCGAGTGTCCGAGGTGTCCTTGAGACGTGCACATGTCAGAATGGTCATTGTTTCCCTCTGGGGGTGGGGTGTTTTTAATTTTATTTATTTTTTTAATGCTTTTTGGTTAACAATGCACCACCACGATACACGTTGACATAACGACAAAAGTATGCAACCCAACCTGCTCCAGTGCTGTCCCCAGCACCCCCATCCCTCTTCAGTCCTCCTGCAGGGTACGGTTTCTTGACCCAGCATCTCCTCTGCAGCAACCATGTACTCCAGGAGATCAGCCGTATTTCCAACTTGGAAGAAGGAATCTGGGTTTGTGCATTGTTCCATCCCTGAGCATCCCACCTTCCAGTTCCCTGGCTGACGTGGGCTGCTTCAGGTTAAGTAGGGGCCTCAACTGACCAGCTTTTCAGGTGCACACACGCTGAGAGGCTGTCGTGTGCCTGTGAGCGCTGTTCTGTGAAGGTGGTGGCGACTTGGTAGTGAAGGAGAGCTGGACTCGTGGGTCTCTCCCTCCTCCTGAAATACCACAAAAGTCCAGGATTTTTTTTTTTTTTTTTAACAAAAGCACCATAAAAGATAAGCGGGAACTGGAGGGATCATCTCTGTTACATCAAAGTCTTTTCTCAATTTCCAGATTTTGAAACCATTCTTCATATACCGTCCCAAGTGCCAAAGTATGAATCATGTCAGCTGTGCCATTCCTCTGCCCAGAACCCTCGGGTTTCCATTGCTCTTGGGGGGTAGGACCCTTCACCAAGGCTGCAGTCCTACTGTGATGCCTGCTTCTCCCCTTCCTCTGCACCACGCCGTCGTGCTTTCTTTTCTTTGACCACGCCACCGTCATGCTACCCTGGGGCCCCTTACACTCGCTGTTTCCTCTCCCTGGAATATATTTCCTTCACATCTGAGCATGGCTGGCTCTCCTTCACGACTCGGGGCTCTGCTCAGATGCCACCTCTTCAGGGGTCTTCTCCAGCCACCCATGTAGTGAGCCCTTCCAATTTCTGACTTGTCACTATTCTATGCCTTTCTGTCTTTTGTAATACTGGCTGCCTTCGACTGTCACCCTTTTTTCTATGGATCGTAAATGTCCTGAAGACATCTTGTGTCTTAGGCATGGTGGACTTCCAAAGTCCAGAACACTACTTTTAGTTGACTCTTAAGGCATTGTTTTGAGCAAATGAAGAGGGGAAATGTACTTTTTAGTTTGTTGTAAGACTTTCAGTCCTGTATAACCCAACCCTTTCTTGAATAAGAGGGAAAGCCTAAAGGGGACTGGGGATATGGCTCAGCTGGTAGGTAGAGTGCTTGCCTCACATGCCCAAGGCCCTGGGTTCAATCCCCAGCATTGCCCCCCCCCACCACCAAAAAAAAGGAAAGCCTAAAGACTTGTGCCAGTGTGCAGAGATTGTGGTGTAGCTTGCCGTTAATGTGCGCTGTATGCAGATTGTTTAGCTTGCAGTTAATGGGGGGTGTGCAGATTGTTGTGTAGCTTGCAGTCAGTGTGCATAGCTCAGAACAGCTTGCTTAGCAAGAGTTGCAACTGGAATCGCTGATTTTCCACCCTTTGCCAAGTCTTCGTTCCTTCAATGGGAAGGAGTTTCATACAGAACCCCAGAGACCTATTTTTGCTTTTGGTTTCAAGCCTCATGATTCAGTCCTATGAAGGGAAATCAGTGCCACCACTCCCTCTCCCAAAAGACAAGATTGACAAATGAATCTAAGAATAACCCGCATCTTTTCCTGGGGGAATCTCTTGAAACTTAGGGGAAGAAAGTTACTTTGTGTGTGTGAGTTCAGAGAGGGGAAAATGGTCCTTCTCCATCTTTATGAAAATGGCAGGCAGATAGCACTTGAATGACAGAAGCGAGCCAGACGCCCCACGTAGGTAAGCACTTGAGATTGCGGTCTCAGAATACTGCAGTTGCCATTAGTGACTGCTCTCTGCTGGAGGGGGACCTGGAGATTTATCTTTTTTGCTGATTCCATGGGAATTTTTGATCACCTTCATCACATACCACTGATGGCAGAGTCTGGCAGAGTCGGATGAAAAAAATGCCACGGCAGAACAGGACGAGAGCTCTGTGCTAAGAGTCCCTGCCGTGTTCTGAAGTAACTAGCTTCTCCCGTCTTGATTGAATTCTAAAAGTCTAAACCACACCCAGTCGTGGGTTGGGGCTCTAATCTTGGCCAAAACCATGCAGATAGGTCCTTTTCCTGTGAGTTCAACCGTGGTTGTGTGGTCTTGATAAGTTGCTTCTTTTTTTTTCACATTCTTTTCCTTATTTGTCTTTAGAAGAAAGATGGTAACCTGAGAGTGGTGGTGTACACCTGTGATCCTAGAGACTCAGGAGGCCAAGACTGGAGGATCACAAGTTTGAGGCCAGCCTGGACAAATTGGGCCCCGTCTCAAAAAATGAAAAGAGCTAGACATAAAGCTCATTGATAGTCCTTGCCTAGTGTGTGCAGACCCCATATTCAACCCCAGCACCACCAACGATGGGTGGATGGATGGATATCTCAAGATTAGGCCTGGCTGCCAGAGCTGAAAAACTCAATAAAGGAGGGTCAGGGATGGTAGGGCAGGTAGCCCATGGTACCAAGCACCCTGACTTCTGTCTTATTGGTCTCATGGATCAATGTAGCTGCAGAGGTTCCAGCAATAGTATCTGTGTTGTAGTCAGCAGGCAGGAAAGAGGAATGTGGGAGGGGAGTCCCCTCCCTTAAAGATATTTCCCGGAAGTTGCATTTTTATATTCTGGGACTAAAACCTGGTCATATGACCACACGAAGCTGAAAGAACGGCAGTATCTGGATAGAAAGAAAGGAGACCTCTATTGTTAAAGAGGAAGAGAATAGATAGTGGAATAAACTGGCAGCTTCACCATGAGATGACTCGAGTCCTGAACTGGTATTGAGCTGGCAGCTCCACTCGGATTCTCACCTCGGGGCCTTCACTTCAAGTCTAGCCCACACGATGCCCAGGGCAAAAGCTTAGATCGTATTTCATACTATACTTGTAGATGCCTAAAGCATCTGTAATCCTCGGTTGTCAGTTAGCCCCGGAAGCTCTGGGTTGATTGGAGGCAGAGGCCGAGAACAGCCCGCAGGGCCAGACCTCGTGGTTTGTACTCCAAGAATGGGTCTTGGGCAAGGTTCTGAACTCCCCTGAGCCTCGGTCTCTGCATCTGTGAGAGGAGGATGGACGGCATACCTCTGAGAGGTATTGTGGGGGTTAGGAGAGTAAATGTGGGTAAGGCACTCCGCACGGTGCCGGCACTTAGAGCACACCACCGTTGTCTCTGGCTTCCTGCATAATGCTGGTGTCATTGGAAGGAAAGACGGAGGACCGTGCCTCCCACGTTCTGAGCCTTAGTGATGTTTTCCAGCCCGAGGACCCCATGGCAGCTGTCAGAGGACCTGAGATTTAGGAGGTGACGGGGTTGCCTTGTGTTGCAGATCACTTTTCTGCAGAGAACGTGAGCGACACGGCCAAGGAGACGTGCCTGAACTGGTTCTTCAAGATCGCCTCCATCAGGGAGCTCATCCCCAGATTGTATCCTTTTTCTGTCCAGTGATTTCCAAGACGGTGGGAAGAGCTGCACTGTAGGTCGAAGCCTGCGACAGGTTGCCCTGAAGCTCCGTCCGAAACTTGGTCCTGCTCGGGCCTCCAACCGGAGGAGGCAGGGCAAGCCCCGTCTCGGGGCCGCCTTAGACTCGGGCTCTGTCTGGCTCTGAATATGGTGCCGTGCGTCAGGCCTTCTCTTCAGCAGCAATTCCACCTTCTCTCGGAAGACGCTTCATGTCTGTGTTTTCTCTGGTTCCCAAAATGTGAAAACACAAGGTCATGCTTTTCTGCACCAGTGTCGGTTTTGAAGAACAGAATTTGATTTGTAGGCAGATTGTATCTTGGTTATGTAAAGTTCATTTTTTCCCCACAAAACCTTGGCTGGAAATGCTCAAAACCCACTTTGAATTTCGCTGTGTGACCATGAACCAACACATGACATTTTCCAAAACTTATTTTAAACAAGTTTGAAACCATGAGAACCCTAGATAAAAAAAACACCGGCCCCAGGCGGCCTGGGCGCTCTGGATGGGTGAAGGCCCTCGGGCCCCTCTCCTGGGGCTTGCCTGACCTCTGTCTGGAGCCGTCCCTGCCCACAGGGGACAGCCGTCTGGAAGTTGATTTCCTTAGTGGCGTGTTCTCGTAGCTACGTGGAGTCCTCCATCCTGAAGTGTAACAAGTTCCTCTCCAAAACGTAAGGCTCCTCGTTGGCGTCCAAGCCATGACACTCCTAGAGGTCTCTCGTGTAAACCCACGCGAATGGGTGGTGTGGGTGGCCGAGCTCATGAGCGCGTCCTGGACCCAATGCCAGTCGTCTTCTCCGGTTTCTGGGTCCAGCCACGTGCACACAGGGTTCTGCTCCATTGCACCTGAACAGGGATGAGCCCGAGGGCCAGGGGAGGTCAGTTGAGCTTCTCGTGGCAGACGGGCTCTGCGGCATCTGAGCCCTGGCTGTGCGTTACCAGCTCTGGTCTTGAGCAGGTCTCTGAGCCTCGGTCTCCCCTCCTTGAGGGCGTGGCCCTGAGTGCACAGGCCTTGGAGCTGCACCGTGGCCCTGTCCCTCTAGGCCCACGTGGCTGCTCTTAAAGGTGGTGGTGTTGGAAGTAGAGGCCTTGACCCTGGGGCTGGGGTCTGTTGTGGACGTGGATCTGTGAGCAGGTGACAGGCTGAGGGAGACCAGATCTGCATTCTGCTCAGCTGGGCAGTGCCTCCTGCAGGCCTGAGACCGAGTCGCGGCTCTCCACAGATCGCTACTTTGATTGGATTTAGAATTTTTTTTAAATGTATGATTTGGATCTGGGGACATCTGGGACAGTTTGGGGGATAACAGTGTCTAAAAGTCATCTTTTCTCATCAGGTTGGGGAGGAGAACCCCCCAGGCAGAGGGCAGTCCGTGCGGAGAGAGGAGTGAGCTGTAGTTCCCACTAAGGGGCGGGGTGTCCAGGGCCAGGCCCAGAGGCCAGGTCGTTCTGAAGGACTGTAGATACGCAGAGGAGATCCAGGGGTGACCAGCTGATGGAAAATCGAGGGACAGAACTGTTAGAATTAGTAAAGTAACTGTGACCTCAGGCAGGAGCATGAAGGTGAGCCTCCCGCTGGGTGGGTGCTGGGGAGCAGCCGGACCCCCAGGAACTCCACCAGGAGAGGAGAGCTTGCTGCTTTCCCTTAGAAAGACTGAGACTGACCTTGATTTCTTCCTGAAACTTGGTTGGTTTGTTTATTTTCCTCCCCTAAATTTAGGAAGCTTCGCTTTATTTTAAGAACAGAAGAACAGGAGTTCTCCCCCGGGTGTGACGCTGCGCTTTCCTGTCGCCCACAGGGGGATCTCGGAATGCCTGCCCAGACTGACCTGCATGATCAGAGGCATCGGGGACCCGCTGGTGTCCGTGTACGCCCGCGCCTACCTGTGCCGGGTAGGCGCTCTCCGCTCACAGACGGGTAGCCCCTGCTGGTCTCCTTCCCCCGCCTCGGAGGGGGACTTCATTAGCTGCTAATTTTAGGACACAGCTCTTCCACAGAAAGTAGAGCTTGAGGATTTCTTTTAAAAGTTAATTTTAAAACGGACCAACTTGCTCTGACTGGAATTAGGGGACAGTGAAAGTCATCTGGGGACACACGGTGTTCAGCATTGCGCCTCGGTTCTCGCTGGGACCCTGCTCGCCCTTTCACATCCAAGTCGCTTTTCAGGCTTGAGGCGCACAGTCCCTTTGCCTTGAACTTGATGCTGTGTTTTGGGGTTGTTTTTTTTTTTGTCCCCGTTGCAGAGTTGGCTTAGTGTAGCAGGTTGCCTGTCCCCTGTGACTGCAGGCCACAGGGTCTGTTTTGCCTGGCCCCAGGGCTGCAGGCCTGGCTTAGGCTGCTGCCCGGGGAACTGGGGGAACTGGTAGTCAGTTGGCGTTTTCTCCAAAGCACCAAGAGGACTTCAGACCACCACGTTTTGCTTATTTGATAAACAAATCCATGGGGAACGTGGGGCCTTCCTACCAGGGCCTTGCCTCCATCAGGGTGCCCCAATACTGGGTCCTCCCAGTGCTATGCACCTTTAGCCAGCCATTGTCCTTGATGAGCCACACACTCCTGGGGGACAGAGCTGTGGTCAGACTCCGCCACAGGCACTGAGGTGTTCGTTTACAGGCAAGATCAAGCAGCCTTGGAGTTGCTGCCGTGGTCTCAGGCGTCACAACACCTCAGTCACTGTCCTCGGTGCAGAGCGCCCATGGATCATGAAGCCTGCCTCTCCATTCAGGGGCCTATGTCCCAGAGGCTCACAGGCAGCAGCATCTTGCCATGGGAGGGGCCTTTTCCATCCAGGATGCCAGGCGTCTCAGAGCTTTGCCTTTTGAATACATTGACACCGAGTACTCCAGAGGCGGAGCCTGCTGAGGCCTGTGTGCACGCTCTGCTGACCCTGTTGGAGGTGCCAGGCCCTCCTTGTTGGTGTGCGCGCCATTGCCTTTCCCCTATGGAACACGCGGATTTTTTGAATGCACCTTGATTTTGGTTGAGTAATAAACTAGACTTAGATAAAGCCAGTTGTGGTGGTGCACGCCTGTGATCCCAGCTACGGAGGAGGCTGAGGCAGGAGGATCACAAGTGCCAGGCCAGCCTGGGCAGCTTAGCAAGAGCCTGTCTCCATCCTTTTTTTAAAGGATGGGGTGTAAGTCTGGTGGCAAAGAGCTTGTCTGGCATGCGTGAGGTCCTGGTTTCCATCCCCAGCACCCCCAAAAAGAAAAAAAGAATCACACTATCTTACAAAGACGGTTCTGCAAATTGATTTCCAATTTCAAGAGAAATTGAAAAGGGAGGAAATAGACCTTTCTTCTAAACCTGTTGAGTTTTAAAGTCTGAGGCGAGGTTCATGAGCTAGGGAAAAGGTAATACTTGGTGCATATCAGTTGCCTTTGAATGGCAGGTGCCACTCTGAAACAGTGACAATGAGAAGGTGCTAAGGACAGAGCAGACCCACCCTGGGAGGCTAGTGAGCAAATGCCCTGCACCACTGTGATCATTCTCGTCAGGGTCACCACTGCATCAATCCCCTGGCCCGTTAGTTACTCAAGTCTTTGAACATAAGAGTAATAGAGCCTGTGCCTTAGGATTCTTTTCAGTTGAAAGCATTGAAAACCTAATTTATACTCTCCAAAGCCCTCAGGGATCTCTTGGCTTTTGTGTCTGGCGAGTGCAGGGTTGTGCAGGGATGGCTAGATCTAGCGCCTCAGAGAGGCTTGTCAGGAATTGACTCTCTCCATTCTGAGACTTGCTCTTTACATATGTTAGCTTACAGCCACTCCAGGCTTCCTACCAACTTTACAAACCCTGTTGGAAAGCGTGCTTTTCCCGAGTGGGTCCAGTCGGAGTCTCAGCTGATTCCAGTGGACCCTGTTGAGTCATTTGCGGATCCCTGGATCCATCCCTATGACCGTGGCGTGGGATATGCGCCCGCTCCTGGGACTCGTGGTCTGAGGAGAAGGTTCCAGTCCCCAAAGACAGTCCAGTTTGCTGGTGGCAGAAGCAGAAGGGCAGGCGGGAATCAGAAGCAGCTACCCTGGCTGCTCTGGGAACATGTCTTAGACCCAGGTTTCCAAGCTGCCATTTGGCTTGAGAAGAGAAACACAGGCAGCGAGTGGGTGGGGCTTGGGGGGAGCCCAAGCTGTTCTCCCCTTAGCCGTTGCCCTTTTAGCTCATCTCCACTGCTGTCCCCTGGGCCAGCCTTTGCTGTCACCTAACAGATAATTACTGTCTGCCACGCTATGATTAAGTGGAAGGAAGGCAGCAGCATCTGAGGTTCCTTGTGGGTAGTTTTAATGTGTGCTTGTCCTCAGAAATATCCCTTCCTGTCCCCAGGGGCCAGAGAGCTGCTCTGGCCTTTAACCCCAGTGGTTCTCAAAAGTTCTTCCCAAAGGGATTGTTGACTTGCGAGACCTCTGGGCAGGGAGAGCTGTGGGAGGAATCTGTCCCCCACGGAAGAAATGGGCCCTGGAAGCGGCTGCCCTGAGCACGTGTGGAGGTGGAGCAGCAGCTGGAAGGAGGGCCTCTGAGGAGCTCGGGCTTTGGCTCTGAGCAGGTTCACTCCCTGAGCAGCGCAGACCTTCCCTGCCACGCCCCCCCTTCTCCCCGGGCTCCGCCGCCTTGTGTACAGGCAGCAGATGACTTCAGCTAGAAAGGGTCACGAGCAGCCTCTCAGTGCTGAACTTGTCAGGCTTCCTGCTCGTGTGTAAGTCTGTCTCCATGACTGATGGCGGAGAACGGGCCTGGTTGGCGCCGTGGTGGCACGGCCCCTAGGGCAATCCAGGCCGACCTTTGTTTGGGTTGGGGAAGGGGATGGACCTCGGGCAGAAGCACACTGTCCACTCAGCTGTACCCAGCCCCCTCTGTAACCTTCAGTGTCCTCTGATACGTACAGGCACCTGCGTGTGATTGTCATCTTACGTTCTGAGGCGAGGGGTCACTGTAAACCTCGTCTCGAGAGTGCAGCCCTCCTTGGGGCTGTATTGGTCTCTTGGTTATCTGCTCAGAGATACATCCATTACCTTCAGGAAATTGTGAAGATGAAGACTGTAAACGTCTATTTTTTATTACAAATGGCTTTGGTGGTTTTTTTCCCCTAAAAATAATGCATTTATTGAAGTGGAAAAGACACGAAGTTCACTTTTGGGACTTTTCAGGTGTCATGTCTGTATGGTTTACGTTTACAGAAATGGCCTCACACTGCCTGTGTCGTGTGCAACCTGTTCTTACGTAATTGCGTTTTGTTTGGCTGCAGGTGGGAATGGAAGTAGCGCCACATCTCAAAGAAAGCCTCAATAAGAACTTCTTTGACTTCCTCCTCACGTTTAAACAGGTACGAGCACCCTGTGAGGTGACGGTTATGTGACGGTGAACTCTTGAAACCCAGTGGGTTTTCCTCGCCGAGAATGCCCTTGAGCCCTTGACACCTGCGGACCCCAGGAGACGGCAGGAGCGTCTGCCGTGGGCCGCTGGGCGATTGACGGCTCTGACCCAGCTGAGCTTTCCTGTGCGTGGGTCACAGAACCCGTCTCCACGTGGCCAGCCCAGCTTCCTGGCATCTGCTGGCTGTTTTTGTCGGGTCACTTTCCACAGCTCACATTCCCAGAACGGCTCAGCTCAGTTGGAAATTAAAAACCAAAAACGCCAACTAAGAAACCAGGCCATCCCCCTGGGTCGCCCAGAACCTTCTGGCGGGGACGGGCATGAGCCATGTGCTCTCTTGTTGTGTTCCCTGTAGATTCACGGAGATACGGTCCAGAACCAGCTGGTGGTCCAGGGGGTAGAGCTCCCCTCCTACCTCCCCTTGTACTCTCCTGCCATGGACTGGATCTTCCAGTGCATCTCCTACCACGCCCCCGAGGTAAGTGCCCTAGTCTCAGCAGACACTCGCCTCCAGGGGTGGATGCTGAGCCCCTCTGTCCTCCGTGGTGTGACAGCCCCTGCCCGTGGGCCAGATGTTAAGAGGTTTTTCCCAACAGCTACAGTGACGTCCGAGCCAGCCCACCCGCACAGAGGGCTCAGCACCGAGGCTGGCGCAGTGCTGAGCGCCCCTCCTAGGTTGTCTGGTTGAGTGACTGTGACCTAGGTTGTCTGGTTGAGTGACTGGTTGAGCTTCCTGTGAAGGTGCACAGCTAGAAGGCGGTCGCCCAACACAGACCCCTGTAGTCCAGCTGCAGGGTTGGCACTCTGCTGTCTCTTCACTTACCCTGCCCGTGACCTGCCATTTGCTCATAATCCAGCAAAGTTGATTGAGCAGGTCAGGAACTCCTCTGTTCTATGGAAGGAAAGCTGGATTCAGATTTTTGAGATTCCTTTTGCTAATCTAGGTGTTAACATGACATAGTCATAGCAGAAATCCTTTTTCTTCCCTGAGATATAGAAGCAGTGTCAGTAGAACATGAGCCCAGATCGCTGTGACTGAGACAGATAAAGCTGCCCTCATCCTCCCTTTAGTAGATTACACTCCCAACACCTGTAATCCCAGCTATTTGGCTGGAGAGGCCGAGACAGGAGGATTTGCAAGTTTGAGGCCAACCTAGCAACTTAGACTATTTAAAAAAAAAAAAAAGTACTGGGCATGTAGTGACTGAACTGGCCCAGTAAGTGTGAGGCCCCAGTTCAATCCCAAGTACTGCCAAAAAAAAATGGGGGTGAGGGGGCCTTGGGAGAGAAAGGGAGACTTCAAAACAATATGTGGAGTGAAACAAATCCACAGGCATCTGCCTTGTTCCGAAGTGCTGCCAACACACATCCGAAGCCCTTCCAGGAAACAAGAACACAAGCCGTGGCTCTGACTGGGCAGTCCCACCTTCCTGAGTTTTCCTGTAGAAGTAGGTAGATAAACACAGACACAGGTTGGCTTGTGCTACTTCAAGACTGGAGGTGACCATATCAGGCTTGGTTAAGCTCTGGTGTAGTGTTGTGCGTTCAGCGGGATGTCCTGGGGCCACCTGAGATGGTGAGGATCTGTGGTCGTCTCACATGCTGACACGAGGGCATTCCCAGCGTGTGGCTGGGTGGAATTGTTGCGCTTGGTGCTCTGGGTGACTAAGCTGCTGTGTGGCCTGATGTGCAAGGAGGGCTCTGGCTGGGGCGCCTGGGCCTGCCTCTCAGCTCGGGGCAGCCCTGTGGGAAGGCGGAGGTCAGCTGACATGCCCTCACCACTCCAGGCCTGGAGGATGACACCGTGACCCGTTTCCTCATCTGTTAGGAGGATTAAACAAGATGGCGCTCTTCCGGTGCTTCCTGTGGTCCTCATGGTACTTGAGGATTGTGCTGAGGCTCGAGAGCTGGGGAGGGATGGGGAGTAGGCTGGGACCATCTTATTTTTCTTTGCCCGTCTGCTTGCTAGCTTTTCAGCAGATGTGCCCTGCTTGTCGTATTACAAGTCCTAAAACCTGAGGGAAAAACAGGGACAGCTTGTATTTTAGGTGAATTTTTTTTTTTAAACCATTAAACAAATTGCTTTTACGTCAAGCCAGGGTAAGGGGAAGATTGTAAATTTGCTGCCTGCTCTCTGGTCTGCAGTGGAGGCTCGGCAACCACCTGCTGTCTCCAGACTGGGAAGGGGTACCATGAGCTTGACCAGAGAAGGAGCTGCCTTGCTATTCCACTGAGTGACTCGGACATTAAGATTGTCATGTTGAAAATGAGAACACTTAATTTTTTCCTCCTTATTTTAATGAAAGGCAAAATCGGATTAAAAACAAAAGGTACATGTCATAAGGCACCCTTTTATTTTAAGCATCAGGAATCTCAGAGGGTGGCAGAAGCTGGGAATAGAACTTTCTCAGGGAGTACAGCTCTAGGAAATCATCATTGCACTAGGAGAAATGATTAAAAAAATCAGGTCACCGAATAATAATAAACTCTGCTTCTTGGGGCACTTAAACAAGGGACCCATAGTGTCTTGTTAAAAATAAATTGATTTTAAAAATGCAGGAGGATTGTCAGTATGGGGGGAGGTGTTGAAGGCCCATGTGACAGCTGGATGTCTGAGCTCTCCCCCCACCACTACGGGGTTGAACCCCGGGGTGCTTTACCACTGAGCCACGTCCCCAGCCCTTTCTATCATTTTGAGACAGGATCTTGCTAAGATGCTTAGGGTCTCACTAAGTTGCTGAGGCTGGCCTCAAACTTGCATTCCTCCTGCCTCTGCCACCTGAGTTACTGGCATTACAGGTGTGGTCACTGCCCAGCCACACTTTAAAGCTCTTTGACAATGGTTGGTAAGAATCAATGGGGACAGGCCTCCAAAATAGAGGTTTGTAAGTATAATAAGTAAAAATGGATTATGCCTTATTTGAGGTATATTCTGCCTAGGAAAAGGCATTTTATAAAACTGGCTTTTAGATAAGAAAAATAAATCCCTCAATAAGCCACTTGTCATTGTCACTCAGTGGCTGTTGGGGACAGGGTGGGAGATGCAGAAGGAAGTTGTAAGTCTTGTCTAGTGTGGAAGGGTCCTGGCTGGGTCGTAGGATGCAGGATGGAGACACTGCAGAAGGGAGAGGAAGGTACGTCCTGAGGCTGCGCAGGCAGCTGGGCAGACCTGTCACACCTTGGGCCGCTTGACTTCCCTGTGCCTTAGTTTTGCCAACTGTAAAATAGGACTCAGCAGGACCTTCCTCTGCAGGCCACTGCGGTGGTAGCTGTCACAAAGCACATCAGCAATGTGTTTGTGGGCGGCCCAGCAGGCCTGAAGCACATGGCCCAGCTGACTCGAAGACCAGGTGACCAGCAGGGGAAAGGGCCTGTCCATAGAGCAGGCCACAGGCATGGGAGGGGCCTGCGTTGCTGGGAGTGGAGCAGGTTGCGCTGGGCCAGCTGCAGAGGCCTGAGGGGCTGTGGCGAGGGCAGGGAGCTCCTGAAGGGCTGACCGGGAGGGCTTTGGAGAAGGTGCTCTGGCAGAGGCCCCCAGTGGAAACTGAACCCAGGAGGTGGATGGAGGAGAGCGAATTTCCCCATCAGAAAAGAATTGCTAGTCAAAGTACAGAATCGGAATAAGAAAGGCTGGAGGCCCAGCCTGGGATGCCGGCTTGGCGAGCCGTGGGCCTTGGCGTCACTGGTGGACTCCCTTCCCGCGTTCCTCCCTCCCCGCCTCCCCGTGTGTGTGTGTGTGTGTGTGTGTGTGTGTGTGTGTGTGTGTGTGTAAAATCCTGGGAGTTTTTCCCTGTGACTTTATGAGCCTCCCTCACTCAACCTCCTCGTGCCTGCTCCTGCCTGAGGTCACGTCATGCTCGCTCTGGCCATTGCTGGTCACACCAGTGAGCGAGTAAAGGGAGTGAGTGGGTCAGACATGGAGCGGGGTGGGCAGCGGGGGAAGGCTGAGCTGCTCTGTCCTCTTGGCAGGGGGGGCCCCCATGGCGCTGTGCTCAGTTGTCTCCGCCGTGTGCCCTTATCACCCGCTTGACAGTCGGGCACCGAGGCATAGAAGCTTGCCTAGGGTCCGGGGTCAGGCCACTCAGCCTCTTAGCAGAACTCTGAAACCAGGGACGTGGCCTTGATCTGACTCTTTCTGTACTTCTGAAGTAGGTAAATAGGCCCTTAAAAAAAACCCCGAAAACAAAACAAAAACAAAAAAACCTAATCCAGAGGTGGAAAAAGGTAAAGCCATCAGGTAAGTGTGGTTATCCAAACCTGCGCATACTGATGATGCGTTGTAGAATTAGACCCAAAGACAGAAGAAATAGTGAGTTAACGGGATGGTGGCAGTGCCGAGTCGTGACTTGACAATGCACAGGTTACGTAAGATGTCACCTTTGAAGGAAACCAAGTGACGGATACTGAGGACCTCTGAACTATTTTTGTGATTGCTTCTAGTCTATAATTAGTTAAGAAGTTGCTAAGCATCCATCAGCCTAGGGGAAGCTTGGAAACTAACCTATCCACTGTGGGATTCCCCGGCCATTAAACAGGATGAGGTATGTGGGTGCAGTGGCGCACACCTGTAATCCCTGTGGCTCGGGAGGCTGTGGCAGGAGGATCCGGAGTTCAAAGCCAGCCTCGGCAACTTAGACCCTGTCTCAAAATATAAAAAGGCAAGGGAGGTGGCTCGGTGGTTAAGCACCCAGTACCAAAAGGTGGGTTCCCGTGTCCTGACCCAGGAGGGGGTTCCCACCCTAGATTCTTAAGTGGGAAGAGCATGGTGCAGCCAGCGTGTGTAAGATCATCCTGTTTTTGTAGATCGAAAACAAAATTGGCTGCTGCAGTAACAGCTGTGTACCTGCAGGGCGTAGGCACAGTGCAGGAGGATGAGCAGGGGGTGTTGATGGTGATCCCGGGGGGCCTGCGGGGAGGGAGCGCTCCCGCTGCTCGCGCTACTACTTGAACTTGGGTCTACACTCATTTCTTATTTTTATAGTTTCATAAAAACAAATGTCGTGTAAATAAATGAAATGTGGGGCCAAGAGCAGCAGGGACAATGGCCTCAGGGAAAACGAGGCCGCCTTGCCCAGCCCCAGGCTCCGGTGGGTCTGGACCAAACACGGGCTAGTTTCCAAGATGCTATTCATCTGGTTCTTGCCAAAGATAATCAAGCCTGTCACTTCTCGGTGAAAATAAATAAATAAAAACAACCTCCAACAGACCTGCGTGGGATCCAAAATAGTTGGCTCCCTGGATCTTACGAATGTCCCTGTATTTCTATACGAGATGGTCTGTGTTTTCCCTTCATTTCTATGCATTTTTTTTTTGTGTGTGTGTGTGTGTGTGTGTGTGTGTGTGTGTGTGTGAGAGAGAGAGAGAGAGAGAGAGAGAGAACTTTTTAATGCCTTTTTTCCTTGTTCTAACAAATGTTTTTTTCGTTGTAGTTATACATGACAGAACGTATTTTGGCACATACGTGGAGCATAATTTCCCATTCTGTGGTTGTGCATGAGGGGAGTGAAGCATGTGTCTTATCTGTATTGTTTTGTCCATACGTTGGCGTTTGCCCCACTTGGTCTTTGGAAGAGCTGGGTTGCGGCATCTCCTGTGCTGGTTGTGCTGCTGCCCTGTCGGTGATCCCCTGTGTGCTGGGGAGTACTGCTGTGATAATCGTATAGAATGTCTTCCCTTTCCCCAGTCCTTATAACACTTTGGTATTGGTATTGGTGGTCAGAACAACTTTTCAAGCATAACTGTGCCATGAGTGAGGTAGGGAAGCTGGGTGACATGATCGATTTTATGGTCAGCTGAGATGTTGTAGCTAAGGAACAGACACGTGCTGAGCCTACAGGTGTGGTTCAGTGCCTCCTCCCCATGGCAAAGGTGGGCTCCAGCCAGGTGGCCTCCATTTACCTTTATGCTCTGCCTTCTCTGGCTAGTAGCATGGTGGCTGCAGCTGCTCCCACCGTCACATCCTAGCATGACGACCCAGAGGCAGAAAGGGAACCTTCAATTTCTTGGGTGCCTGTTTCCAACAGGGAAACCTTTCCTCTGAGCCCTGGGAAGACTTTCCACTCCATCTCAGCAGCTGGGAAGGGTCGTGTGTCCATGTCTAAGCCCCTACCCCAGGGAAGGGGTGTGAGACCACAGGTTGGGTTGGTCCTGGGCAGCTCCGGCTGTCATACAGGGAGCGGGCACTTACCTCCTCACAGTTCCGGAGGCTGCAAGGTCGAGGCAGAGTGCGGCAGGGTTGGTTTCTGGTGAGGCACCTGTGCTTTTGTCTTTGGGTGTGCACACTTTTCTCTTCATAAGGGCACCAGTCCCTCCCTATGGCCCCGTTTAACCTTAGTGCCCCCCGGAGGCCCTCTCTCCAGTACTGTCACGTTGGAAGTTGGGGTTTCTGCGTGTGGATATTGGGAGGGATGTAATATAGTCCAGAACAGGACCCAGCCTGACTTACTTGGGCCAGAAGCTGAAATCTGGATAAAGTCAGTTCTGAAGCAGTTGTGACAGATCTTCAGGGTCAGCTGTCACCTAAGTGACTCGGGCAGCATGGAGGACACACAGGGTCACAGCTAGGAAAGGCTGAAGTGCACCAAGAACCACTCAGAGTTTTGACTTTAAGGCCCACTTGGACACCAGTCACATTTCTGCTCCTGTCTGAGCTCCTCACCTGCAGAGCAGGCCCCGGGTCCAGCCTCCCAGGGCTGTTGGGAGAGCAAATTCAGAAAAGACCCAGTGAGGCCTGGTGTCCAGCTTAGTGTCCAGACTGCTGGCATTGGGGTTGACTTTCCCCAACCCACTGCCCAAAAAGGACACATTGTTTTTTTTGTTGTTGTTGTTTTTTAAGTAGGAGCCCTTTTGAAGATGCGTAATTGTCTTAAGATGGCTCTAAAGCCATTAACAGCCATTAACAGTGTTCTAGTGAGCAACCTGTTCATATCCTTTAGGGCCTGGAAATGTGAAGAGCGTGGCCTCTGGTGCTGGCTAACTCGGCGTCACACCTGGCTGCCGTCGCTGGCTGTGTGACCTTGGGTAAAGCCTGCCACTGCTCCATGGCTTGGTGTCTCATGTGTGCAGTGGGAGAGCAGAGTGCTCACCTGTGGGTGGTGGGAGAGGCTAGAGCGTGAGTGTAAGGCTCTGGCCCAGGGTGTGTGAATTGTATCACCAACCACAGGAAACTTGGGAAACGAGGAAGAGCCGGTGATCAGAGGAGAGATGGGAAGCAGAGTAACATTCATCCTCATTTATGCCCTGGGCACAGGAGGTGCCTCTCATCCTTCAGTGACCCTGTAGGTGGGATAGTGCTGCCTTTGTTCTCTGTGTCTGCCAGCTCTCCCCACTGGCAATTGGTGATTTGAACCCAAGTGTGCCTCACACCAGGCCCTGGCTCTTGTCCGTCGTACCAAATGCCATGAAAGTGTTCCCCTCCCTGTTCCTACTAGTCACTGAAGTTGTGTAATTGGGTGTGTGCTTAGGTTTATTTTGTAGAATGACTATGTTTGGAAATCTCTTAGAAATGTGGCTTTAGCCTGATGATTTTCTCATTAACCTTCTAGGCTCTGCTGACTGAGATGATGGAAAGATGCAAGAAGCTGGGAAACAAGTAAGACTCACGTGCCTGGGTTTGTAGCGGGAGCTGGGCGCTGTCTCTGAGCTGGGCAGGCTTCCATGGGAGAGGAACTAACAGGGTGGAAGGAGTCCAGTGGTCTGGCCCTAGATCCCAACTCTGTTCTGTCTTAGCTCTGTGACCTTGGGCCACTTATTTGGTGTCTCTGGACCTCAGTCTCCTCGTCTGTAAAATGGGCAAAAGAGTAGTCCTTTCCCCATGGGACTGTGTAAGTGGCAGGGCCAGGATAAACTTGGTCTCTCTCTGTCCTGGGTATGTGTGGTATACCTCGGCTCCATTCTTGGTGGTAAATGTATGAGTAGCCTTGAGGGGGTGTTGTTCACTGTGTCCCTACTGCCTAGAGCACAAGGTCTCTTTCATAAGAAGTCTTTCACGAGAGATGTGGTTATGTGTTTGCAGCAGAAATCAGTGCTGTTACTGGATAATTAGTTTTGTAACTGCACCACCCCATTTGAAGAGTCATTTCTGTTTAAATGGATTGGATTGCTTGGCAATTTACCTGTCCATCCATTCACCCATCCACCCACCTATCCATCCATTCATGCAGTGAATTCAGCATTTATGGAGTTCCAAATGTGCACAGATACTGGTGGTCCACAGATGGCCCTTTCACTGTGGTCTTGTTTGTTTTTGCAACCTTATCATTAAAGGGCTATCAGCCCCCGTTCCTGACAGTATACACCCTCATGTTTCATAAGGGGGAGGTGGACTGACTTGGGGCCTCCATGTCTTGCAGCGCCTTGCTATTGAATTCTGTGATGTCAGCCTTCCGGGCCGAGTTCATCGCCACGAGATCTATGGACTTCATTGGAATGATCAAAGAGTGCGATGAGTCTGGTTTCCCCAAGGTAGGCTCTAGACCCATCTCCGTGGAAGAGCAGATTGGCAGTGTCTACCCCATCTCTCCTGAGAATGCTGAATCAACTAGCCTGCTGCAAAGTATTTAGGAAAAATGTTGGTCTTACATCTTAGAAAAAAGAAAGAAAAGAAAAAACTTCACTCTTAGGGAAGAGCTTTGTCCAGCAGAATATTATGGCCCACCAATTAGAAAAATGCCCAGAGCCAGGTCTTCATTATGAGTGTCTTAGTGTTGCTGGGGTAGATCTGTAGAACTCACAAGTCTGAAGCATTTATTTATTCTGAGATGGGTTAAATGTTGTAGCCTGCAACCTTTTTGTTTTTGTTTTTAAGCCTTGGTTACTTTGATTTAAGATTTCCAGCAATATAATCATCGGTACTTTTCTTAGCATCTCCTTTTTCGGTCACTGGGGTTAAACTTGGCCTTGGCCGATCCACCTGAGAATGATCGACTTCAGATTCTCAATGAAGCTTGGAAAGTTATCACAAAATTGAAGAATCCACAGGTAGGTGACCATTTAGACCTTTGATCAACTGGTTTTTGTTTTTTTGTCAGGTAGCTAGACATTTTCTCTTTTAGAAATGATCTTTTAATTACAATTCTGGGCTTCTTTAGTTTGTATGGGTTCTTTGGGGTGTGGTAGTGGGGACTGAACCCAGGGATACTCTACCACTGAGCTACGTCCGGATTCCTCTTTTGAGACGGGGACTCTCTAAATTGCCAAGTCTGTTCTTTAACTTGACCCTCCTGCCTCAGCTTCCTGAGTCACTGGGATTATAGGTGTGCAGCACGGCACCTGGAGCACTACTGATGTTTTTAAAGACATCTTTATTGTTGACCTGGATAGTGAACTAATGGCTTAAATATGTCATTCTTTGACTTTTGTATCTCGGTTGCTGTTTCATTCTTGAGACCTCAAGATGCAGCAAAAATATAAAATCATAGATATTTGAAGTTTTGAAAGGCCTGTGACTGTGCAAAAAGCATCCAAAACACAGCAGTCTGAAGTATTTTACTTTGAAATTACCAATTGAATAGAATATTCCTAAACCGAGTCAGTGGGCAAGCCAGTAATTAACAAAAGGAAAGTCCAGTTCCTGGCCCTGGCGTGGGATCACCTGGAGCATCGCCCCTGCGCTCTAGGTGGAGGAAGGCTTGAGATGATGGAGAGACTGACGTCAGTTACCATAGTGATGGCATCAGGTAAGGTTGGGGCTCATGACTCCCCAACCTTTTTGGCATCATGCCAGTAGGGAAAATGGTGTTGGCTGATGGGCCCCACGAGCAGCAGGACGGACATCACTGTGTCTGTCCTGCTAGCAGTGAATGCATGAGGGTAAGGAGCACTGGAGGCAGGCAGTCACCAGGAGGGAAAGGCCAGGTGAGTGTGCATGTGCAGTGTTCACCAAGGTGTGTTCAGAACAGCGGCTGGGCTGTGGCTCCGTGGCGGAGTGCTGGCCTAGCACCAGCAAGACCCTGGGTTCCATCTCCAGCACTGCAAAAAAAAAAAAAAGATTGGGAGCGGGGAGAATAATGGTATTAAAAAAGGCAGAAACACATTTAGAGAATCATACATCGTCAGGGTCGTTTAGGAAATCATCTTTAAACTTCATTGACTAAATTCCCCCTTTAACTCAAATTGGCCAACTAAAACAGCTTATTCAGGTCAGGAGATCTATTGTACGGATGACTCAAACTATGTATTTTAAGGTTAAAAATCTTGGTAGAACTTGAATGTTCTTACCACTAAATGTGGTGTAGGTGTGATAGGTTACGGCTGGAGAAAACCGGGAGCGCATGCCGACCCACCGTGCTGCACCCCTTGTGAGATGTGTTATGTTTTCTTTGCAGGACTATATTAACTGTGCTGAAGTGTGGGTGGAGTACACCTGCAAGCATTTCACGGTATGTATGGCCATGAGGCATTTTTGAAAGAATTATATTTTTTCACATAACAGCAAATGAATCTAGTTCAGGCATTGAGGTATTTCATAAGGGTAAATGTTCTCATAACTTGTAAAATTTGCATTCTTATAATAAAGGGCAATGGAGCATGAATGTGTGTACTGTCACTAAAGTGTTCCGTGCTTACTTGTAATTCTGGGTAAAGCTGAGTTACAGAGTTGAACAGCCTAGGACTCCTTAGGTGCTGACATGCCTAAGTGCATTGTGAATTTCCATGGGAGTTTAGGAGGCAGCCCCTCCCAGACATCTTGGATTACGTGGGATTCTTTTCCCTGAGCAAAAATACTTCTTTCCTGAGGCACAGACTAGAAGCACAGTTTGGGGAATACTGGGCTCATGAAAGAGCAGAGACTTCAGGAGCACATAGAAGCAGGTTTAAATCCTGTTAGGAGAGTTGTTTTAACCAACTCATAAAAATTGAAGAAGAACATTATCTGGATGTATCTACTCCCTGCCACATTCCTATGATGAAACCTGATTACCAAGGTGACAGTGTCAGGGTGGGTGGACCTGGGGCTGGCCCTGCAGTGGTCTTGTACGTAGGCAAGCGTTACGTCGATGACAGAACAGCAGCCCATAGATGGTTGGCATTCTGCATCTGGTTCATGCCAGCTGTGTTAACTGTACCAGGATGCCAGCGTAGTTGGAAAAAAGAGAGATGCAGCCTCTGAGAGATGATTGATTAGGTGAGGAGGGTGGAGCCCTCGTGAGCAGGGTTAGTGCTCTTCAGCAAGGACTCACATGAGCTCTTTGGACCCTTCCACCACCTGAGGACATGGCAAGGACACTGAGTCTGCCATTGCCTTAATCTGGGACTTCCCAGCCTCCAGGACTGTGAGACGTAGGATCCTGCTGTGAGAGTGATCTGGCTCATGGCGTGTTGGTACAGCAAGCGGGGCATGAGTTCCAGTAACTTCCTGCACGGTGCAATTTTAATCTCATAGTTTTCACTGTTGTGAAAGAATGTTCTTTTGGGGACTGAATGTTGAAACCATTTTTACCTTGTAAGCCATGTAACAGGCTGGGTTTGGGCTAGAGATGAGACCCCTGATCCAGGTGACAACGGGGGTCAGTAAGCACTGGGCCCAGTATGCCCTCCAGTGGTGCCTCCCTGCCTGGGCGGCAGAAAGCACAGTGATTGTACCAGCACTTGGGAAGCAGGGACGGTGGAAATCTGAGAGCCTTTGGGAGCCATATTCAGAGCCCCTGGGGGCAGTGGTGCCATCTCTAGGCCGTGGTACTGGGCCAGGTGATAAGGGTGCAATTCCTCCCCTGGTATTGCTTTCACATCTGGACCATGTGTGACATAGTTTGAATGCTAGTCCTTTCTCTAGTGATTGCCAGTCAGTGTCCAATACTGGTCTGTTTCCCCCACTTAGAAGCGAGAGGTGAACACCGTTTTGGCTGATGTCATCAAGCACATGACCCCAGATCGTGCCTTCGAGGAGTCCTACCCCCAGGTAATAGATCGGCGCTTCTTGTCTCCACATTTGCAAGAATCTTGTTCTGTGGACTGTCACTGTTGCCTGGGTCACGACATAAAGTCAGGTAACCCAGGGTTTGAATTCCAGCTCCACCATGTCCTGGCACTGTGCTCTAATGGTTGCCTGGCCTCATTGTGCCTTGGTTTTATCACCTGTGAAATGGGGGGAAAAGCAGCTCTGCCCTCAGTTGTCAGGAGGAGGGGGTGGGATGTGACGTAGGGACCTCTCGGCTATGGCTTGGCACCTGGCAGATGCTAAATGAGCATTGTCATTGTCACTGTCACCACTGACTGCTGTGGCTGCTGTTTGGTTTAATTAACTCTGCATTTGGAAATAAATTTAAGCTTCCTGGAAAGCTGAAAGAATAACTCAAAGATCTATTATTCCTTACTCAGATTCTCTGTTAATATTTTGCCTCATTTGCCTTATTATGGTTAAATGTGTGCCATCCGTAGACGTACTTATGTGTGTGAACTTTCAGTTGTACATACATCATGCCACACCTTTGCTTCTAAAGGAATCAGTATTTCTTTTTTTTTTTCTTTTTTGGTACCAGGATTGAACCCAGGGGCACTTAACCACTGAGCCACATCCCCAGCCTTTTGTATATTCTATTTTGAGACATGATATCACTAACTTGATTAGGGCCTTGCTAAGGTGCTGAGGCTGACCTTGAACTTGGAGTGCTCCTACCTCAGCCTCCTGAGTGGCTGGGGTTACAGGCATGCACCACTGCACCCAGACCTGAGACTGGTTTGAAACTGCACTTCCCATAAGGCAATTAGTTACATGTTCTTGAAAAGTATTTTGGTATTTTTGTGTTTTGCTATTTTAAGAATTTTTCACCATTTGCTAGTTTAAATGGTTTATCATTAAACTCACTGAGCAGCCCTTGCCAACGGGACATCATCTGGGCCCGATGGAAGTAGTGCAGCATTCTGCATAGTGATTGCCTGCTTCGTCCTGGGTAAAGTCATTACATGAACGAAGCAAACAGAGGAGATAGTCACGTCTCCAGGAGTGCCAAGACCTCACGCAAGAACTGATGTGCTAGGGAAGTTTTGTTGAGGAAAAATTTAGTGAGGCCTTGACTGCTGGAAACCCAGTTAATTAAAGACTTTAAAATCATTATACTCTTTGAAGTTATCTATTTTAAGAAGTTAATTGCAAGGGAGAAAATAAGATCCTGCAATTCTGCGCTATCTGAAAGCAACTTATAAAAGATGCCCTGAGTGTTGGACACTTAGGTCAGTAAATGAAGAAAAATGTTTAAGCTGAATCACAAACTTAGTCCAAAACAGCCTGAACAGAATATCAAGGTCAGCCTGCCCAAACCATGCATGCGGCAGCTAGCTGTTCGTGAAGAACCGCGCTCCAGTCGGATTGACAGAGTGGGGGAGTGAAACCTCATGATTTTGTAAAGGAGAGAGACGTAAGAAAAACTTATCTGCTTACTTAGAATCAAAACCAGCTTGTTTATGCAGGCAATTCTGTTTATCCCTGAGGGGCCCCAGTAAGCTATTGCTCTATTAGTCGGGCAGTTTTTGAATCTGTTCAGCCTCTGAATATTTAGTTTGTTTGGAGCCTGTGTTATATTTTGACTTTCTTATATGCTCTTTTGAAGCATTGTTAAAAGAAATGACAACTTGGAAAAGATGCCAGGGGTCCACCAGCCCTGGGGACAGACATCCGTGTCAGTGGCAAACATACGTGCCCCTTGTTGAAGGCAGGACCGCCTCAGAAGAAGTAAACCCGGGTCTGTGGAGAATTGCTTACTCCAGATCCAGGACAAGGCGGTGTGGGATGAGCCTGGAGCATTTTCATGAGTGCCAGGAAATAAGGACGTGAGCAAGAGCCAATGGGGACAAGTAGAAAGGGCAAGGCGCAGGTCCAGGGGCTCTCCTGGGCTTCAAGAGCAATTGGGGCAGGTTCTGACCCACTGAGTAGTAAGAGGAAGCCAGGGGTCTGTCATTAGTGAAGAAGGGAAAGGGGAGAGGCAAGTGGGATCTAAATGAGATGCGGAATGAATGGTGGGGTTGGGCAGTGACCATCCTGCAGCCATCACAGTGGAAACGGGCATCATCCACCCTCAGGCAGGAACCGCCAGCGCCTGCAGATCCTGGAGCAGGAGGTTTGCAGCTCTCACGGGGTCTTCCCCCAGAGAGTATGTTAATTGCAAGGGAGAAAATGGAGATATTGGCCAGTCCTCACCTCGCCAGTCACTGTTCATATCACCAGGAGGAGGCCATTGCATACCTGCAGGTGTGGCACCCTGGGCGGTAGGGCTCTCCTGCGTAGGACTGCAGTCAAGAGTGCAAGAGCTGAATCCAATCAGAGGGAACGTCAGCTGCTGCCAAATTGAGCATTTTGTAACTCTTCAGAAATATTATTGCCATGAGTGGCCAAGGTGGGCTGAGGGGATGTTCCAAGTTAACAGGGACGTGAAAACGAGATGGAATGAGCCATCACGGACTGGCTCCTGTCCAGAGAGGAGAAAATATGCTTCTAAAGGACTCTCTGAGGCCGTAGACAAGATTGGACTCTGGACGAAGATGGAAATATTAGGATGTAGCTCAGTAGCAAAGCACCCTGGGTTCAGTCCCCAGTATCTCCCCCCCTCAAAAAAAAAAATCTAGTTTTCATGATATTTTTAATGATTCTCAGTTTGGTAACAGCAAAGTAGAAGACATGATAAGAACTGAGCAGGCCCTTTGGCGCACACCTGTCACCCCAATGGCTTGGGAGGCTTGAAGGCCAGTCTCAGCAACTTAGCAAGGCCCTGCCTCGAAATGAAAAATAAAAAGGAGGCTGGGGATGTGGCTCAGTGGTTAAGCACCCCTAAGTTAAATTCTTGGTACCAAAAAAAAAAAAATGGTATTAAGGGTAGAGGAACCTGATTATGCAGTCAACTCACATGTGGCTCAGAAAGAATGAATTACACAGAATTCAGTGTCAGCTTTTGATCATTGTCATGAAATATCTGAATAATCATATTACAGAGGCTTATTTTGGTTCACCGTTTGGAAGGTTCCAGTGCCTGGTCGATTGGCCCCGTGACTTTGGGGCTGTGGTGAGGCAGCACGTCAGTGGAATCAAGGCAGAATGACACTGGCTCGAGTCACCAGGGATCGAGGAGGGGCTTGGGCTGCACAGCCCCGTCCTGGCCATGTCCCCTCTAACCCAAGGGCCTCCCACTGGGCCCTGCCCTCCAAAGCTTCCCCACCTCCCAGTGGTACCACTCTAGGGACCAGAGGGTCACTTACATAAACCACAGCAGACACATTTGGCAAAAATATTTAAAATTGGTGGATTTGGGTAAAGAATATATGGGAGTTATTTATTTGAGTTTTTCACCTTTTCTGTGAGTAGTTATTTCAAAATAAAAAATGTGCATGGACAGTGTTCACCAATTCTGCCAGTAGATGGATAAGCAGGGAGGTAAAGCAAAGGTAAAGTACAGCAAGATGTTGGCTCTCGTGGAACCGCAGTGGTGAGTGGGTGTGTGTGGTGTGACTCTTTCAGTATTCTTTGAGCATTTTCATAGTGACTTGTGGAAGGGAAAATAAACCTGTGTGTTGCTGGGGACAGAACCCAGGGCCTCACCATGCTAGGCAAGTGCTCTGTCGCTGAGCCATGTCCCAGCCCCTAAACCTGTGTTTTAAATCCCAGTTCACGTGTAACTGTTCTCGAGTACTTTTAAAGCTTTGTTCCAACAGGGTTAGTTTCTCTGCTCTGGAGGCTCCTTAGCCCTACGGTGCTGTGTGTGAACGCGCCCTGCCTCGGCCTGGTTGGCTGTGCAGCCTGGAGTCCTCCCAGTCTGCTCGCCTGCCCCAGTGAGCACTTAATTATGAAGCTGGCTCGTGCCGCTTCATGTTGATGCTTTCAGAACGGGAGCTTCACAAATGACTTATGCAGCAGTTTCTTAATTTAAACTGTTTGACAGTAAATTTTTGGGAGGCACCTGTGGCAGGGAGTTAGATTTACTTTAGAAACAGTACCCCTTTGGTCCTTCGGGGACTTTCAGTTGGGACCAAGTGTGCTTCGGAGTGGGCAGTGTACATTGGTACCTGGGCACTTCTGAGGCAGGTCTCTCAGACTGTGCCCCTGTCCTTAGGTCACACCATGGCCTTGGACCCCACTGCTCAACTGCATCCGACTCCTGTGCATTGATGCAGTGAAGACCCAGGGCCATGGTGGGCTGGAATGGGGTCTGCAGACTGTGGCCACATGTAGCCTGTCACATGTTTGGGGGAGTAAAGGTTTATTGGCACACAGACACCTGCATTTGTTCACAGGTTGGCTGTGACCTCTTTCATGCTGCCGTAGCAGGGCCGAGTCGTCGTCATGGACTGCAGACCCCTTACAGAGGATATTTATCCAGCCCTAGAATAGCAGCAGCCGGGGCAGGGGGTGGGGGCAGTGGAGAGCACAGGCGCTTTCTGCCTGCAAACCACCCTCTCAGCCTCCAGCTGTGCTTTGAGCTCCTTTTCACAGATAGGGCTTGAGACTGAGGTGAAATTATTTCCCCAGACTGAGGTAGAACGCAGAGGGAGAAGGGCCACCTCAGACGGAGGCGGAGCCCGACCGAACCCTAATCCTGCATATCTTGAGCAGTCCAGGCTGACCCCGTTGTAATCGCCACTAATGAAAGAGGGTAGTCTTTTTCAAAAATACCCAACCTTTGTTAAATAAGGCCTGTCTTTTGTTTTACAGCTTCAGTCAATCATTAAGAAAGTGATCGCCCACTTCCATGACTTCTCAGTTCTTTTCTCGGTGGTAAGGAGCATTTCTTAGTTACCTTTAGAAATCTGTATCTTATGCCTCAATAATATTTTTTAAAAATATTTTTTTTAGTTATATGTGGACAGAATATCTTTTGTTTGTTCGTTCCTATGTGGTGCTGAGGATCGAATCCAGTGCCTCACATGTGCAAGGCAAGCGCTCTGCCACTGAGCCACAACCACAGCCTCAGTAATGTTTCCTTGACACTGCAGGCTGAGACATACAGTTCTTTTCTATAAAGCAGTTAAGCTAACAACTTCATACATAATTATGTCCTAACAACTTAAGCAGCTTTTGGAAAATAATACACGTAAAACTGAAAGAAAACGTTACTCCCATTCAGGTCATTACTGACCAATGAGATGTGTACACCTGCTGGGCCTGACGTAGCTTCTCAAACCTTGCCTTCATGTCCTCTTGCACATGGAATTTCACACAGTACAGGTTTTGCTTCCTTTATCCAAAGAGTTTAAGATTTCTGATTTTTTATTTTTAATACTTGGATGGACTTTATTGACTGAGGCTCTCTGATCCTAAAATTCATTTCTCATATTAGGGAAGCCCAAGTTGCACTTGGTTTTTATGCAAGTTAATGTTGAAACTGTGAAATAGATTGAACTAGTAGTTGTCTCATCATCTGACAAGAGTTGAGATTTATTACATTTCCCTCAACAAGTTTAAAATGACTTGCAACGTCCCTTTGAGTAAGCTGAGTGCCTTGAGCTAGTAGGAATCTAGGTGATTTTTGTCCCTTAGCTTCTGTCTTCTGGGTTCCACTTGTATGTACTTATAGGATCTTATGGTGTCTTCTTTTTTGATAGCATAAGCTGATAGGTCTTGGACATGTGCCATATCCCCAGCCCTATGCTGGGACTTTCCACTCGGCCCCACACCATTTTCACACCAGCCCTGGGAAGTGGGAGCGATTATCATCCCTACTCTCCAGATGAGAAACCAGAGGCCGGAAGAGTTGGAATGACCTGCACAAGGTCAGAGTCACCAGGGGCAGTGGCAGGACCCAGAGATGGAGAGTTGTGTTTTGAGGCCACACTTTTGAGTGTGTGTTTTGAGCTCAGCTGGCTGCTCTTTGCTGCTCATCCGAACACTTACAAGAAGATTGATGTGGCCGCTAGAAAGCTGATGGTCACCTAAAGGCTTCCCAGATGGTGTGCTAAAATGTTACCTGGTCCTAGCACCAATCCCTGGGACACACATTTCGTAGTTCAGATTGACTATGCCTTATCCAAAATGCTTAGGACCCAGAAGTACTTTCGATTTTTTGGATTTTGGAATATTTTCATATATGTGATGAGACCTTGGAGATGGGACCTCAATCAAAACCCAGAATTCCTTTGTTTCATATATACCTTACACACCTGGCCTGAAGGTGATTTTATACAGTGTCTTAATTTTTTGCATGAAACAGTTTCATGGTGTGGGACTTTCCATTTGTAGCATCACGTTGGTGCTCAGAATGTTTTGGATTTTGGAGCATTTTGGATTTTCGGATTAGGAATGCTCAGCCTGGAGTTTTTTTAGAACTTTGTATTCCATCCATGGCTGTCAAGACCATCCAGAATTTGGAGCATTTTAGATTTTAGATTTTCAGATCAGGGATTCTCAACGTGTAACAGTTTTCAGAAGCCCTGGGTGGGTCTTTCAGGGGAGCCCTGAGCACCTTCTGCTTTTCTGGCACCCCCTACCCACCCCCCCACACACATAAAGAATAAACTACTGATTCCTTCCAATTACCTATGCAATTGAATGTAGAGTGTTTTCTTTGTTTTTAGGAAAAATTCCTGCCATTTCTGGATATGTTCCAAAAAGAGAGTGTGCGGGTGGAGGTGTGCAAGTCCATTATGGAAGCCTTTATCAAGTGAGTGACCCCCGTGCCACGGGAAGTCTGGGTTCCTACGCTCATGTGTGCTGCTCTGAGAAGGTGTCGGGTCATGCACTTTGAGGCCTGGTGATTTGTGCAGATCTCATGCCTGAATCCTGGGAAGGAAAACCACATTAGAAGCAGGCTTCATGATTAGAGTTTGTAATTGGTGCTTAAGAAAGCAATGAGCCGGTGTGGGTGTGAGCCTCGCCAGCAGCGCCAGTTTTTTACCCTGCTGTGTTTTTGGAAGGCGGAATCTTGGGATGAACTGCCTGGGGAGTGACATGTTAAAGTGAAAATAAAAGCCTGATTATGAAAGTCCCAGCACGAGGAAGGTCTTCATCTTCAGTGTTTAGATCCATAGCTGACTAACTTGAGTTCCTTTTGTCTTAAGACTTTCTCAAAACTGCCTACTTCTAGTGGTACATGAAATGATTTTAAGGTAGTACATGCAGGAAAGATCTTTATTTAATTTGCATTTATTTTTCAAAATCCAAGACATTTAAGTTTTGAAAGTAGAACCTTGTGCTAAGATCTTATTTAAACACACAGTAACTACCTACCAGAGTCTAATAATACCACATGCAGTATTCCTTTTAGATATTTATTGAGAACCTACTATGTGCCACACATTGTTCTGGATATTGGAAAATCACCAGTCATCCAAAACTCATGCCCTCACTGGGCAAGGTGGTACTATAATGCCAGCTACTCAGGAGCCCGGGAGTTTAAGATCAGCCTGGGCAAAATAATGAGGCCCCATCTCACAAAATAAGAAACACAATCCTGCCTTTTAGTGATGAGAGACCAAATGAAAGTCTAAACAATACATTGAGGTAGCAATAACTATAGAATAAAGAAAAATGGAGGAAAGTGAAGAATAGTGACAAGAATATGTGAACCAACATGAATATTCAAGTTATTGATTTTCAACATATTTAATAATCTTGATATCTTTCTAAAAGAGTAATTCCTTTCTAAAGATTGGTATTATTAATGTACTTGGAACAGATATACCTCCTTCACTTACATAAAGCTTTATTGTAAGAGTTTATTAATAATTTTTAAAATATTTTCTTAGTTATAGATGAAATACCTTTATTTATTATTTTTTATGTGGTGCCGAGGATCAAACCCAGTGCCTCACACGTGCCAGGCAAGTGCTCTACCACTGAGCCACAAACTCGGCCCCCAGATTAATGATTTTGCTTGTCACTTGTCACATCACATATAGATGTAAGCAGAAGCAGCTTCAGACGTTGCGAGGAACATAATAAGAAAATAGGTTTGCCCTTTGCCTGGCTTAGGCTTAGGAAACGTCACATCTTTACCATGATTTTGCAGTTAGGAGAAATTATATGTGCAAAAGAGCCAACTTGTTATTTAAAGAAAAACTGTACAGCAAAGCCAGAACGTCGCCTGTACTGGTAAACTGGACCTTGTAAGACGGCAGCCAGCTCCTTCGCGGCTTCTCAGATATGTGGTAGACGAGAACTCGACCCACCCTTACATTTCCATCAGTGGACAGAGCATTGACCCTCACCTATCATTGTCTCCTAGGCATCAGCAAGAGCCCACCAAGGACCCCGTCATTCTGAACGCCCTCTTGCACATCTGCAAGACCATGCACGACTCTGTAAAGTAAGCTGCACATAGCTGACCCTGCGGGGATGGGTTTTGGTGTCACCTAAGAGCACTAAGGGGAGACTGCTGTCAGCGGCCACCACAGAGAGCTTTACTGGGTCCATTAAGATTCTTGCTAGCGAGGAAGGAGGAAAGCAGGGAGGCTGAGGTTAACCTTGAGAAAGTGCAATGGCAGATGTTTTTACAAAGAAATTTCTGTTGGGAAAAAAGCCTGGTTTCATCCAAATGAAATCAAATTCCACGTCTCAGGGAGATGTCTGAGAGCAGAAGATAGTGTAACAATGAGGGTACTCATCTAGTAACGGGGCCTTTTAATTTCATCTCATTATTAGCTAGTTATTTAAAATTCAAATGAAATTGCATTTCTTGTGTGAACAGCTCTATTTGCCCAGTGTAGTTGAAGCTCATTCAATCCCCTGGCCTTACCTTTAGGTCAAACTCTGAACTACCAAGGCTTTGCTGTTTTGTTTAGGGTTTTTTTTTAATGCTTCGTTTCCATTTGACTATGCTTAAAACAGTTCCTGCTTATTTGTGGCTGAAATCTTAGTCCCCCGAGAATTTTAGGCACAGCAGTTTGATTTACTGGAAAATGTTAACAAGAGTTAAGAAAATTGTTCCTGGAACTTCACTGTTAATAAGATGTGTCGTGTTTGTTCTTCTTAACTCTTAACTTTAGAATCTTTATTTCTATGGCTCTGTGCTTTCCAATTCATGAGTTATAAAAATCAAAATATCAAGAATATCATATTTATTTTCATAACAAATGGACCCTGATCAGCTTTAGTTTACAAGAATAGACTTAAAGGCACTGAAAGCATCCAGAGAGGCACTTTATGTTTACAAGACACTGGGTGCTGGCTCTCTAGACCAGGAAGTGAGGAAGGGGAGCTCCTCCTGGCACATCCTCCAGGCACCAGGTCCTCTCGAGTGATGTCCTGTCTTCCTGCTGGAAGCTTGTGACCTCAGTGTGTCTACATCCCAGCCTGTGGCATTGGAGGACAGCTGCTTTCTTTCAGGGACTTTGGAAGGGTCACCTCCCATTGTCACATGGAGTTGTGAAAGAAGCAGGAATGCTGTCTCAAAGAACAAAGGGACATTGCATCATGGAGGACAGTCATCCTTGGCCAAAACTTACTCCCCCCTAGAACATTCCAAACAATAGCCTTCAGTCCTGTTTTCTCTGGGTTCTTAAATTTGTTTTTCCTTTTTTTACCTCTTGGATTTTTGTTTTTGTATTTTGCAGTGCAGGGGGTTGAACCCAGGGGTATTGTACCACTGTGCTACCTCCCTAGCCCTCTGTTTTATTTTGAGACAGGGTCTCACTTGGTCACCAAAGCTGCCTTGAACTTGGGATCCTCCTGCCTCAGCCTCCTCAGTCACTGGAGCTATTAGGTGTGCGCCACCTCACCTGGCTCTTAAATTCTTAAAAAACAAATTTAAGAAACTATTTATAGGCCTTCACATGGATAATGAAAAATGTAAAGATTGAGCATTTTAAAAATATTTATTTGTGTTAAATTTTCTATGAAATAGAAGCAACTAAGATCCGACTTAATGTTATAACACATCCCAGACTGAGGTAGATTGATGGGTGGAGATGGGAATGGGCGTCTTGTGATGAAAGCACTGTAGGATGGTGACGCTAGGACCTTGATGGTGGCTGTGTGGGTGCTTACTGGAAAGTTCTTAGATATATGGTGGATATATATTTCTCTGAAATATAAAATTTGACACTAGACCTTGCTACCTAAATTTTGAGGAGGAGAAAATTACCTTCTCCTTTCCTGTTCATAAATGTATCTTGAGAACAACATCTTTGAGGGAGAGAAGCACTTTTAAATTTTGTAAATTTTTATTGCCATGGGGTGGAGCAGGTAAGGGGGATTTAACCCAGGGACTCTCCACCACTGAGGTTAATCCTTTTTATTTATTTAAAAAAGCTGGGGCTGGGGATGTGGCTCAATCGGTAGTGCACTCGCCTGGCATGCGTGTGGCCCGGGTTCAATCCTCAGCACCATATACAAACAAAGATGTTGTATCCGCTGAAAACTAAAAAAAAATAAATATTAAAATTCTCTTTAAAAAAAAAATTTAAAAGCTATAGCTCTTTTTATTTATTATTTTGAGATAGGGTCTCAAACTTGGAATCCTCCTGCCTCTGTCTCTCAAATTCTGGGATTACACGCATACACCACCATTCCTTGCCTCATTGCATATTTTTATCCAAAGAAAAATACACGTCTTGTTGAGAGTTTTTGAAATTTAGAAAATTCAAAATATTATCTCCCTATTGAATTGCTTACTTTTGCTCATGTATTTTTTTCCTTTAGAAACTTTCATTTATTACCTCAATGTTAATTATGTACAATTATTGATTTTAGTGCACTCACTCTTGAGGATGAGAAGAGAATGCTGGCACATTTGATTAATGGATTTATAAAAATGGTAAGTTTGAGGGTAGATGTTACAGCACATTTGGAAATGTGATGCAATTGTTTATCCCCGTGCTGCTGAAAGCAGTTTATGTTATGTTTCCTGGTGCTTTTTATTTTTATTGAGATAAGATGAAATTAGAAAACATCTTACTTTAGCCAGGACTCCCCTGGGGGCAAAGAGAGCCAAGACATACTGTGGCCTCAGAAAACACAAAGAGGGAGATTGGAGAGGGATCTGTTGGCCCATGTGGCTAAAGTTGAGGTGTGGTCCTCCAGGGGAGCATTGGCCCCAGGATCCCAGGTTGTCACGGCGCCCCCGCCGTCTGGGTCCGTCTATGACTCTGTGCTCTGCTCTGACTCCTCCTGCATGTTCTCCAAGGGCTCTGTATTTGCATCCCTCCACTCACCTGCAGCTCAGCAGGAGGGTCTCCAGCAGATGCCCTGGATTAGCTTGGGTCATGGGGGACGTCTGCACAGCTTAATGGTTGGGATCCCGGGGTCCAAGAGCAGAAAGGAGCAGCTCCTTGAAGCTCCTGTGTCCCGATGATCAGATGATGGCAGGGTTGTGCCGGGTGGGCGGTGTCTCCCCGTCTGTTGGACTCACTTGCTGTAGACAGTTCACCCCAATGTGCTGTGGTTTTAGTTCTACTGGTTTACTAGTTGGTAGGATCTGTGGGTGGCTGGTAACCAGGCTGCTCTAGGTGGTGGCGACTCCTTTAGCAAGATGGGGCAGGAGGATCCAGGCTCTGCTTGCTTACCCTCACCCTGGTTCTGGCTGTTGTCTAGAGCTTTCCACTTTTCTCCCTGTGGCCCCTGTCTTCCCTCATCACCCCGTAGTCCAGTTGAGCTCTCTTACATGGTGTTGACTTCCATGGGGGCCAGATGGAAGCTGCAAGGCCTGAAGGCGAGGCTTAGAGATTACACAGTGAGCCTCTGCTGCATTCCACTGTGTTCTGTAGGTCAGAGCTAGTTAACGGGCCGCTGATGGAGGGGAGGAGCAGCGTCCATGGGACCTTGCCCAGGGCCCGTCAATGGGAGGGATTATCGCAGCCTGTGTTGGAAATAGCCCACCATCACACCTTCCCAGCCTGGATGGTCTTTGCCTCTTTGCTCAGAGCTAAAAACCAGCTGTGCACCACAAGTTTTTTTTTTTTTTTTTAAGATAAGTCTCACTTTGCTGCCCAGCCTGGCCTTGAACTTCTAGGTTCCAGCAGTCCTCCTGCTTCAGCTCCTCAGTAGCTGGGCCACCTGCACACATCACTGTGCCTGGCTCCATATCTTCTATTTTAATAGAAATGTCAGAACCTAAAAAGATGAGATCACTTTGAAAATAGCCCTGAGACTGTATGTGCTTCAGCATGGGTTCATTTAACTGCCCACCGGATTCTGTGGGTAAAATATCAATTTTGATGAAAATTTAGGACTGGCCTTTCAGTTCCCACCTGGGAAACGTACCTGTAGGTTTTTACCCAGTGACTTGCTTTTGCCCTGGTTTATGCTGTGTGCTGATTGGCTGGTATGTATCCTTTTATGGCTTTGTCTGAAAGTCACCAAGTTAAAAAGAGAATATGAGGAAATAAGATGTGAAACCTGATAGCTACAATGGAAATGGCAAAGTCAACCCTCTCTGGGCCAGGATGATTGATCTAGCAGTAAAATTTCTCCCACTAACCAGCTGTGCATAAATTCCAAGAAATAGAAGAAGGGAGTTCTTATGGTGGAGAAAGTTCCTTCTGTGACTCGGGCAGCCACTGGTGAGCTGCTGAGGTCGGATCCTCCTCAGGAAGCAGAAGGGTGTGGCCCTTATTAGGGGAAAGCTCCCTGACAGATGGCTCCCAAGAACCAAATTTATGTTCTGTGGAAAAGCCACAGCTGGCCGACAAAACACCCAGATTTCCTTGCCAGCGGTTTCCCTCCATACCTGGAAAATCCTGTTTACCTTTTGAGCTGCTGTTGTGTGCCCTTTGACCTCCTGTGTTGTATGCCTGATGCCCTTGCCGTGGCTGAGATTGTCACAGCGCAGTGATTGGCGGGCTGGAGTAGTGGGAAGCTTTTCTAGTTGTGTGCTACCCTTCCCTCTGAGGATGGCATTGTTCCTTTCAGCGTCTTTCTTCTTGATTCTAGGTTTCCTTTGGCCGTGATTTTGAACAGCAGCTGAGTTTTTACGTTGAGTCCAGGTCGATGTTTTGCAATCTGGAGCCTGTGCTTGTGCAGTTGATTCATGTAAGGATTTTCAATTTACTTTTTTGTCCTCTCAATAAATCTTTATTGATTATCTGTGTGCCACACTCACCAGTCTTAACCTGGGATTCTTCTGGCCCATGTTGCTTCTATTCTCCTGGGTCTGAAAGGTAATTTCTCAAGGATTAATGAAATCTATGCCTTTGCGTAGATTCTGGTGCTCTGAGCACCAAGACTAAAGGTGGACTTACTGACCTCTTTTTCTCTGAAAATTGCATATTCTTATTTCTGCATTGCCAACAGCAGAGGTAAGCATTTCACTGAGTTACGGAGATGGTATCCCAGAGTCCCTTCTTGCCCAACCTTCAAATCCCAGTTTTCTCAGATCATGGCCTCTCACAATAACTTGATAGTCCCTGGGCCCAAAGACATAGTAGAATTTCTGTTTATTATGAAGTTAGGTTCAGATAAATTTAGTATATATGGCTTAACAACTCGGTAGCTATTTAAAGTAGTATCTATAAATTGAAAGAGAAATATTTTTATTTGTTCTTTAGCCATAATTACTTACCAATGAAGTGCGTGTACTTCTTGAGCACTGCACAATTTCCCAACCTTGGAATCGGATACTACTACCCTTATTTTCTGCTTCTAATTGATTTTTTTTTTTTTAACTTTTGCATGGTACTTGCTTTTTATCATCATCATCATTGGCAAGAGCCCAGTTTTGCAAATGTCTAATGTGGCTGCAGGGATGAGAGGCAGACAGTCCGGTGTTGAGTTGTGAGCTACCTCACACCAACCCTTTGCACGGTGTTCAGCAGTTTCTGTTTCCCTAAAAACTGTGGTGCCTTGTGGCTGCTGCAGCACCCTGGGGTGCCATGTGCACGGTTTGGAAATAGTAGGTAGAATTTTCCTATGTTCCCACAAACGCTTTCTTCAGGCTCTTTAATTGCTACATGTCTGTTCGAGGAGAATAGCCTTTTATGCATTTGTGTCCTCTAGTTAGCAGGTTGCTCAGCACAAATAAACTTAACTATATGTAGAGACTGAAAAATGGGAGGTAATACACCCACCCCATGTGTGTATAAGAATCACATGAGTGAGTGTGCTCCAGCTGGCCGGGAGCCACCGTTCTTGCTGTTCCTATTGTTAGTACTGTGGAGCTAAAGCAGATGGTTTGCTCTTACGCTTGGAGGTTTCTCGAAGTTCTCTACCATCTTAAGCTTAGAATGTGGGGTTTCTGGGAGTGGAGTAAGTGAAACCACTGGATCAGGAAAGTGGCCATCCTGTTGGCCCCGTGGCACTTAAGGGTTCGGTGCCACGAACTCGGTTCAGTCTTGGACCACGTGGCCTGTTTGCATGGACGTTTGAGTTAGTGCCCCCATCTCTGTGGAAGAAGTTCCTCTGCACTGGCTGTCATCTCATTACCATTTCTGTTTTATTTCTTAACAAATCAGAGTGTGAACCGGTTGGCCATGGAAACAAGAAAGGTAATGAAAGGAAATCATTCCAGAAAGACGGCGGCCTTTGTCCGGGTACGTTGTGAAGATGCGGACTCGTAGACTTCCACCTCTGGTGGGTTGTTCAGTTGGGAGGTTACTAAGTTGTTTCCAGAGAAAGACGAGGGTGTCGTGATAAAGCTGGTTTAATACTGAAATTTCAGCTTGATTTTTCCCTGAATATTTATGGGTTGATCCATTTTCTTATTTGAAAAAGAAATGCTCATAGGAGTCTGAATTTTAGTACAAGTTGAGCATCTCTAATCCACAGATCCAGAATACTCCAGAACCCGAGACTTTTTGAGTACCAACATGTAATGCCACAAATGGAACATTCTGCACCAACGTTCATGCACAAAATCACTTAAAACATGACCTTCAGGCTGTGTGTATAAGTGCATATGAGACCTAAGTGAACTTTGGTTTACCTTTGGGTCCCATTTCAAGGTAGCCTCATTTTATATATGCCAGCGTTCCAAAATCCAAGGAACTAGGAAATGTGAAGCACCTCTGGTCGTGAGCATTTCAGATAAGAGACTTTCAACCTGTGTGCTTTGAGGAGGCTGGTGGGAGATGGATTTGCATTTTTGTATGCCAGCTGAATTGCCTCTAATTTTTATCTACTATAATATTATAATGTTATTTCTCTCATAATAAAATTTTATATGTAAATACCGAGCCTATAACTGGTAATCTTAGTACATTTTTTTCCTCTTGGTAAGAGTTTGGCTCAGGTTTGAAAGTAAATTTTAGCTTCTCGAATGCATTGCTCAAAATTTTATCAAAGCAACACTCATCCGTGGCTTTAAAAATGAAGTCATGCCACAATGATCACGTTGAAAGATAAGCGTCCCAGCCTGCCTCTTTGAACCTCAGGCCTCCCAGAGCCAGCCGCCCTTGGGCTCTTACCACCAATCTCTTCTTTGTTCGCATTTCTAAGTTTGGTGTAATGGGTGCTTTGAGATTTACCCGTGTTCAGTGTTATCTGCATACTTCCTGCAGTGATGGAGGAGGAATTATTTTTCCTATGCCATCCTCCACTGAGGTCCCCCTTTGCCTCTTCCTGAGGGTCATGAGAGAGCGAGCAGCAAGGCAAGAGGGAAGAGCCAGTGGGGAGGGGGTCGTGGGGCGTCTTTGCCTGGAAACATGAGGGCCAAACAGGAATGTCAGTCTCACCTGCATCCCCCCCTTTTTCCCAGGCCTGTGTCGCCTATTGCTTCATCACCATCCCCTCCCTGGTGGGCATCTTCACCCGGCTCAACCTCTACCTGCACTCTGGCCAGGTTGCCTTGGCCAACCAGTGCCTCTCCCAAGGTAAGCCTGCCATCCCTCCCCCTGAGTGCGGCCCTGCTGCTCAGGAGAGCTGGCTCCGCTGTGTGAGTGTGTGTGTGTGATGTGTGTGTGGTGTGGGGGGTTCTTTCAGGAGGAAAGTGATCAATAAATGCTCTCTTAAGCCTGTTTCTTGAATAGGTGCTTGTCAGCCACCCACCCACCCATTTGCTATAGAGCAGAGAGATTTTCCTGGAAAAACCCTCTCAGACCCAGCTCAGGCAGCTGAGCCCAGCTAGAGAATTTGAGAGGTTAGCACTGCTTTGCCACCCTAGTTTTATGTTTGCTTTGGTTGTTGATGTTTGTTCCTCTATTTGCAACCCTAGGATTCTACTTGCGTGCCTCTATCTGTGTACAAGGATAGCTGCTTGCTGTTGTGGGTAAAACTTTTGCTCTGTGGGAGGCCCAGAAGCATGCCCAGGGATGGGTGGGAGGGGCTTATCTGAGAGGCCACCCCAGTGACCATCAGAGGGTGAAGGGCCAGCAGAGCATGCACAGCACTCTCCCAGGTGTGAGTGTCTGGGAGGTGGTGTGAGACACACCTCTGTGCTATTCTTCCTGAGGGGTGAAGAGGACAGGTTCTTTACCATTTAGTGCCATCTGTCATCAGCTGTGCTCTGATCTGGGATGTTGGCTTCCTGGCACACTCTGGCCTGCCCCACACCTCAGCCAAGAGAATGTCTTCAGGTGGAGAGTCCCAGGGATTTGGTGTTGGACTCCCTGGTCACCCATGTCAGTGGCGTGTGCCAGGGTGCTGCAGGCAGAACCCAGGCAGGTTGGTGGCAGGGTGTCCGTCCAGCAGGCCAGGCAGAGAGCTGGAGAAATCCCAGGCAGCGTCAGTTGTGTGGCAGGCCCTCTGCACATACCTCTCCTTCACCCTCCAGCAGCCACGCGAGGCTGCCCCCACGCCCGGTGTCGCTTGCCCGGGTGAGGAAACAGGCAGAGCCTGGGGAAGAAGCTGGCTGGGTGGACCCACCAGGGAGTCTGTGAGCCAGTCTCAGACCCTGATGGACCCTCAGCCCTGCCCTTCAACCAGTAGGTACGCGGGGCACCTGCTGGCCAGCAGTTGGGGAGCTTCGCTGACTGTGGGGGTCCCAGGCTCCACTGAGGGGGGTAGATGGGGTGGCTCCGCCCCGCCCCAGCCTCGCGGGGTTTGCTGCTGTTGCTTCAGCACTTGCTGCGTCCACTCAGGTGGCTCTCCTGGGTCTGGTGGGGAGTGGGGTCTCTCACTCCTCGGTTCTTTGGGTCCTTGACGTGGCTGTTCTGGTGTCATCTGCATCTTAATTCAAACACAGGACTCTGCCTATCAAAGTCTTCAGACATGGTGCCTTCCAGGAACCCCTTCAGTCTGCTCGGTTTTGCTGTCAGCTCTGGGAACTCCAGCTGTTTCCCGAAATATTTGGAATTAAACCCCGTGTCCCTGAGTTGGCCATGTGGGCCTTTTCATGTTCTTTGAAATAAATTGCCTCCTAATTCAGAGCCTTTGCACTGGCTGTTCCCTCTTTCTAGAATGTTCTGACACAGCCCCCTGCCCTCGCCATCATGCTGTGACCTCGTGCTCATTATCGTCGTGGCTCATGAGCTGACGTTTTCTTACTGATCCTAGATACTCCTCTCTGCCTAGGACAGACACCTGTCCTCCCTGTGTTGGTACATGTGGGACTTTCTTCTAGACCTGGCTTTACTAAGGACGATGGGGTAGCAAGAAACAAAACAGCAGTGAACAGCTGCCATCAAACACCTGAAGAAGGGAAAATGGAAATTAGGAGACACTTCGTTTGAGGTTAGAAGTTTCAAGTCTTATGGGCCGTTTCCCTCTTCAGGAATGGCCACCTGGGGGCCTTCTGTGTTCGATTTTGCCTGCAGCATGACGGGCAGATTGTGCACTGCAAGTGCAGGCTCTGGAGGCCTAGAAATTTCTCCTGCCAACTTGGTGAAATCAGAACTGACTTTGAATGTTGCAGATTTTGAACAGATTTATGACTGGAGCCCCTCAGTGCTTCACACTTCCAGGGAAAAAAAGCACAGCAAAAGTTCTCAAGCCAAGTGCTTCTCTGTCATCCGAGGATCTGCTAAGGCTGCTGGGCATGGTGACGTACTCCTATAGTCCTAGCAACTCTGGAAGCGGAGGCAGGAGGATTGCAAGTTTGGAGGCTCCTGGGCAACTTGGCAAGACTGAAAATTTTTTTCAAAGGCTGGGATGTAGCTCAGTGGTAGAACAATGCTTAGCATGATCGAGCCCTGGGTTCAAGCCCTGCTACTGCCAAAAAAAAAAAAAAAAAAAAAAATTCTGTTCCAAGAACTTTGTGCAGAGGTGTTCTCCCTGCCCTGCTCCCTGTGGTGCCCTGGTCCACACCAAGGGACCACCGTGGAAGGCCAGCCCCATACTTCGCACACAGACAGTGGCCATCTTGTAAAACTCTGGGTTCCCCGTCGGCCTCGCCCCTGGCCTTTAAGCTGCTGCCAGGGGGTAGGAATGTGGTGTCCATGTTTAAAAATTTATCTGATGACTCTTACTTGAGTCCCTAAATGCTGGGGTACTAACCTTAAAAGCCTATTATTGCTGTTCTGAAAGCCACGTGTAGCAATTGCTGGCCAAAATAAATAATGCGTTCAATTACTGAGAAGGGGAAGGCTAAATATAAATTAAGTGGAGCTTGTGGGAATGGGCCACTTCTGTTTGTCCAGGCACATCCTGGTTTAAAACCTCCCTGAGCTATTTCCTTGCCTTCCTCAATCCAGCCGGATGCCATCTCCCCCATCACACTCAGCTTTGCTGGGTCTGGGTCCAGCCCAACAAAGACACCCCTAGGACCCTAGGCAGGCCCCTGGGGGACACTGATGCAGGCACAGTGTGAGGCGGGCCCAGCGGTGTTCTCTGTGTGCATTGGTACTGTGGCTGGTGGCATCCCTGGGACCTGCTGTAGTCACCCAGCGGACTCCGGAGAAGGAGGGCTTGCCACCATTGTTTGGGCATTGCTTCTCTCCCGGAGGTAGCCCAGAAATGCCTTTTTATCTTTTCTTCCAGCCTCTATACCAGATAACTTCTTGGCCGTGTTTGTCAGTGGCTCTTTCTAGAAGATTCTTCCCAGGCCCCAGCAAGAGCAGATTCTTTTGCCCTGTGTTTTTACCTTTATTTCCTTATCTCTCCTGTTTGTGATCTTGGGAGATAGGGGAGTTGTGAAGTCAACCAACCACAGACGGAAAATACTTGAGTGGAGGGTGGGGCGCTGCATCTGTGCCAGCCATCCACAGACTTCATCTCGTCATGCCCATATTGTTAACCTTACATGAGATGTTATGAGTGATAACATCTGGTGATGACGTGAAGCATATGGAAGGTATGCATAGGTTATGTGTAAATATGACACCATTTTATATAAAGGACTTGAGCATTTTTGGATTTTGGTGTCTTCAGGGGTCCTGGAACCAGTCCCCTGCAGATACGTAAACTTAGGTCAGTTTATCGCGTGAGACGTGCCATCCTACGCCCTCTGTGCCCTTCGTGGCCCTCCTCGCCGTGGTTAACAGGTAGTGGGTACACAGTGTCTGCCATCCCCCAGCACCAGCTCCAGGAGTCCCATCTGTCTGGCTTGCTCTTGTGTCCCTGGCTCCTGGCATGTCACCCACTCTGTGGGTGCTCAGTTGAGTGATGAGTGATAGGGTGGTGACTGTCGGGAGATCAGTAGAATTCTCAACACTGAGAAGTAAAATGGCAACCTTTCACAGCAGAGGACAGTAAGTATTCAGAAGAGGGTCCTCAAAGCTGCTTAGTAGGATTAAGTAACTTCATATTTATAGAGACACCAGTCGGGTTCCAGCATGTGCTCAGGCTCGTGGACACATTAAACCAAGATGCTGTGCTGCTTTGACCCTCAAGCAACATGGGAAGCTCTGAGCAATTGCTGGAGGCCCGTCAGGAAGCTCTAGCTACAGGAAGTGCCAGGGACAGCAGAACAGCAGAGAAGAACTTCGCGTTTCCTCTTCCAGAGAGCAAAGGGTGGCTCCTAAGGAGAAAAATCGTTTCCAGAGAGTTACCGAGTCCTTGGGGTTTGTATTTAAGGTCTTGGGTCAGAACATCCTCTGAAGAGTGAGCTTGATGCGTCCATTTGCTCAAACCCTGAGCCACCTGGTGAGTGCGCGCCCAGTTGGTTATTTTAGCTGGAACAGTCACAGGTGGGCAGATGACACAAAGCTTGTCCTGCACCTTCACATCTGTGACACGTGGTCCAGCCTCCTTAGGCTGTGCAGGGGCCTGGGCTGGATGGCAGCCCTGCTGCAGCCCACAGAAGGTGGGTGCCATGAGTCTCCCCCAGAAGCTCTCTCAATTTACAAGAGTGGGTGGCTCCGATTTCCTTCCTCCTGCCGCCATTTCTTGGTCATTTTTTTTATGCAAGCCTTGTGCCAGAAACGAGAACCCACTTAGAGTCTGTGCTGGAGGGGCGGCAGATCTGTCTACTAGTTGCGCAGGCGACTGGGTAATGCCACGCAACATACCCGTGAAATGTGCCAGGGTACTTCAGAGAGAAGTGCCTGGGAGGGAGCGGGTCCGGATGTGCCACAGTGAGTCCAGGGCATTCCAGGCTGAGTGAAGGCCTGGAGGTGGGGAGCAGTTCTTCTAGAAGGAAAGAGTGGATCCAGTTAATTGCACAGACCTGAACTCTGGCAAAACAGTTTTATACTGTACATGTCGTTAGGTCGTTTATATTTGGTTTATAGATGAGGAAACTGAGGCTCGTGACTTGCCCAGGAGTGTTTGGCTACTGAGTGGCCTTTCCCCACGTGAGGTGTTCTTGACCACCGTCCCTCCTGGGGTTGGGTTCGTGCCTCTGTACCTTAATATAAAGTCTCATTTCTAACCCAGGTATGTGTGGTGCATTTCTAACACAGGTATATTAAGGAAACAGAGTTGAGGTAAGGAATCCTGATCCTTTCTGCTCAGGGAAGTGTAGACCTCATGTTCAGGGGATTCCACCCCTGTGAGC